ATGCGACTACCGCCATCAAAATATCGCAAGAGTCAGATATTTTGAAAATAATTGAAAATTAAAATTAGACCATTAAAATTTCGGGTCTGTCTGGTCTAACATTTTTACTCATTAGACCTACAGAATTTGAAAAATCTAGACCACGTAGACCTAAAATAATTATGGTTCAATTTTCGCATTTTCAAAATATGCGATTACCGCCATCAAAGTATCGCAAGAGTCAGATATTTTGAAAATTAGTGAAAATGAAAATAAGACCATTAAAATTTCGGGTCTGTCTGGTCTAACATTTTTACTCATTAGACCTACAGAATTTGAAAAATCTAGACCACGTAGACCTAAAATAATTATGGTTCAATTTTCGTATTTTCAAAATATGCGATTACCGCCATCAAAGTATCGCAAGAGTCAGATATTTTGAAAATTAGTGAAAATGAAAATAAGACCATTAAAATTTCGGGTCTGTCTGGTCTAACATTTTTACTCATTAGACCTACAGAATTTGAAAAATCTAGACCACGTAGACCTAAAATAATTATGGTTCAATTTTCGTATTTTCAAAATATGCGACTACCGCCATCAAAATATCGCAAGAGTCAGATATTTTGAAAATAATTGAAAATTAAAATTAGACCATTAAAATTTCGGGTCTGTCTGGTCTAACATTTTTACTCATTAGACCTACAGAATTTGAAAAATCTAGACCACGTAGACCTAAAATAATTATGGTTCAATTTTCGTATTTTCAAAATATGCGACTACCACCATCAAAATATCGCAAGAGTCAGATATTTTGAAAATAATTGAAAATTAAAATTAGACCATTAAAATTTCGGGTCTGTCTGGTCTAACATTTTTACTCATTAGACCTACAGAATTTGAAAAATCTAGACCACGTAGACCTAAAATAATTATGGTTCAATTTTCGTATTTTCAAAATATGCGACTACCGCCATCAAAATATCGCAAGAGTCAGATATTTTGAAAATAATTGAAAATTAAAATTAGACCATTAAAATTTCGGGTCTGTCTGGTCTAACATTTTTACTCATTAGACCTACAGAATTTGAAAAATCTAGACCACGTAGACCTAAAATAATTATGGTTCAATTTTCGTATTTTCAAAATATGCGATTACCGCCATCAAAGTATCGCAAGAGTCAGATATTTTGAAAATTAGTGAAAATGAAAATAAGACCATTAAAATTTCGGGTCTGTCTGGTCTAACATTTTTACTCATTAGACCTACAGAATTTGAAAAATCTAGACCACGTAGACCTAAAATAATTATGGTTCAATTTTCGTATTTTCAAAATATGCGACTACCGCCATCAAAATATCGCAAGAGTCAGATATTTTGAAAATAATTGAAAATTAAAATTAGACCATTAAAATTTCGGGTCTGTCTGGTCTAACATTTTTACTCATTAGACCTACAGAATTTGAAAAATCTAGACCACGTAGACCTAAAATAATTATGGTTCAATTTTCGCATTTTCAAAATATGCGATTACCGCCATCAAAGTATCGCAAGAGTCAGATATTTTGAAAATTAGTGAAAATGAAAATAAGACCATTAAAATTTCGGGTCTGTCTGGTCTAACATTTTTACTCATTAGACCTACAGAATTTGAAAAATCTAGACCACGTAGACCTAAAATAATTATGGTTCAATTTTCGTATTTTCAAAATATGCGATTACCGCCATCAAAGTATCGCAAGAGTCAGATATTTTGAAAATTAGTGAAAATGAAAATAAGACCATTAAAATTTCGGGTCTGTCTGGTCTAACATTTTTACTCATTAGACCTACAGAATTTGAAAAATCTAGACCACGTAGACCTAAAATAATTATGGTTCAATTTTCGTATTTTCAAAATATGCGACTACCGCCATCAAAATATCGCAAGAGTCAGATATTTTGAAAATAATTGAAAATTAAAATTAGACCATTAAAATTTCGGGTCTGTCTGGTCTAACATTTTTACTCATTAGACCTACAGAATTTGAAAAATCTAGACCACGTAGACCTAAAATAATTATGGTTCAATTTTCGTATTTTCAAAATATGCGATTACCGCCATCAAAGTATCGCAAGAGTCAGATATTTTGAAAATTAGTGAAAATGAAAATAAGACCATTAAAATTTCGGGTCTGTCTGGTCTAACATTTTTACTCATTAGACCTACAGAATTTGAAAAATCTAGACCACGTAGACCTAAAATAATTATGGTTCAATTTTCGTATTTTCAAAATATGCGATTACCGCCATCAAAGTATCGCAAGAGTCAGATATTTTGAAAATTAGTGAAAATGAAAATAAGACCATTAAAATTTCGGGTCTGTCTGGTCTAACATTTTTACTCATTAGACCTACAGAATTTGAAAAATCTAGACCACGTAGACCTAAAATAATTATGGTTCAATTTTCGTATTTTCAAAATATGCGACTACCGCCATCAAAATATCGCAAGAGTCAGATATTTTGAAAATAATTGAAAATTAAAATTAGACCATTAAAATTTCGGGTCTGTCTGGTCTAACATTTTTACTCATTAGACCTACAGAATTTGAAAAATCTAGACCACGTAGACCTAAAATAATTATGGTTCAATTTTCGTATTTTCAAAATATGCGATTACCGCCATCAAAGTATCGCAAGAGTCAGATATTTTGAAAATTAGTGAAAATGAAAATAAGACCATTAAAATTTCGGGTCTGTCTGGTCTAACATTTTTACTCATTAGACCTACAGAATTTGAAAAATCTAGACCACGTAGACCTAAAATAATTATGGTTCAATTTTCGTATTTTCAAAATATGCGATTACCGCCATCAAAGTATCGCAAGAGTCAGATATTTTGAAAATTAGTGAAAATGAAAATAAGACCATTAAAATTTCGGGTCTGTCTGGTCTAACATTTTTACTCATTAGACCTACAGAATTTGAAAAATCTAGACCACGTAGACCTAAAATAATTATGGTTCAATTTTCGTATTTTCAAAATATGCGATTACCGCCATCAAAGTATCGCAAGAGTCAGATATTTTGAAAATTAGTGAAAATGAAAATAAGACCATTAAAATTTCGGGTCTGTCTGGTCTAACATTTTTACTCATTAGACCTACAGAATTTGAAAAATCTAGACCACGTAGACCTAAAATAATTATGGTTCAATTTTCCTATTTTCAAAATATGCGACTACCGCCATCAAAATATCGCAAGAGTCAGATATTTTGAAAATAATTGAAAATTAAAATTAGACCATTAAAATTTCGGGTCTGTCTGGTCTAACATTTTTACTCATTAGACCTACAGAATTTGAAAAATCTAGACCACGTAGACCTAAAATAATTATGGTTCAATTTTCGTATTTTCAAAATATGCGACTACCGCCATCAAAATATCGCAAGAGTCAGATATTTTGAAAATAATTGAAAATTAAAATTAGACCATTAAAATTTCGGGTCTGTCTGGTCTAACATTTTTACTCATTAGACCTACAGAATTTGAAAAATCTAGACCACGTAGACCTAAAATAATTATGGTTCAATTTTCGTATTTTCAAAATATGCGACTACCGCCATCAAAGTATCGCAAGAGTCAGATATTTTGAAAATTAGTGAAAATGAAAATTAGACCATTAAAATTTCGGGTCTGTCTGGTCTCATATTTTTACTAATTAGACCTACAGAATTTGAAATTCTTAGACCACGTAGACCTAAAATAATTTTGGTCCAATTTTCGCATTTTCAAAATATGCGACTACCGCAAAAACCGGCGGTTCTTACCAGGTCTTATGAGAAAAATCGTTCGACCGCAGAGCTTTATAAAATATCGTGCTGAAAAGTCTGTTTTTATTTTGATTGATCAATGATCGTTAATTTGCTGAAACAATCATTAAAGAACCTCAATTAATTCACTCTAGGTTAATTAATTAAAAATTTTATTTCTAAGTGTAAAAATATTTAATAATAAATAATTTTAATCTATTGTTTCAATTCTGGAGGGAAAATTATGTGGCATTAATTTTTTCATCAGTTCTAAAGTAAGTATCATGCAACAGCAAGAGAAATTTTACTCTGAATGGAGTGGATTAATGAATTTAATCCAGAGCAAGCGGGATGCGAAATGAGCTCAAGTGATTTTCGCAACGAGTGTTATTTGTGTGCGGTCTGTCGGTCGTCTGCTGTGCGGATTGAACGCGAGGCGGATGGCGGAGTGGAAGGGTTAAATTGCAAGCGAGATCCGATTAGCATTTTGATGGCTGAGGTTGCGTCGCGCCACCCACTTACCCACCCACCTACCCACCCGCGTGCTCGATGCCATTTAATAGGGCCTAATCAGCGGCGGTGGAGGAATTTATTTGCATACCACCCCCGGTTGTGTTCCTGAGCAAACACAAATAAAACGGATTATATAGCTGAGCTCCGAATGTTTGTTTGTATGCGCATGAAGTTTGTTTTCAGCCGTAAAAATGCTAATTCTCAAGCAAACATGGCGATGAACAACAATGTCCGTTGCAATTAGATTGATACAGTCTCAAATCAATGAAAAGTGGGTCACGATATATTTACAAAAGATAAATGATTATAAACAAAATTCACAAGAATTTTGTATTTAAACAAATTTAAATGCTGATTTCTATATAAAAAATCTGAGAATGAAAATTTCAATATGTTTTGAGAGCATAAAGATTTCTAAATATTTAAATTGCATTTTAATTCTTTTTTAAAAATAATATTTGTTTTCTTGCTCAGGTTCAGATTTCCACAATGGATTTCCTTAATAAATTAAAAAGGATTGAAAAAACTGGAATATACTGACCAACATATAAAAAAAAAAAAAAAAAATAGAACAAAATTTTCTCATTTCTCTGATTTCTACAGTGACACAACTAGAGAGAATAAATTATCATTTATATAATTAGAATTTTACTAAATTCATTATTATTTTATTTTACAATTTATCTATTTTAGTTTAAAATGGATCGTTGCAGATGCGTCTTTTGCGGCGGTTTCGGATAAAAGGCACCGCTCCCGCCCTGGCCCTGTTGGAAATGCCCTCCGGTCGACTCATCACCTCAGCAGGCAGAGACCGACTCCTGCAGCAGCCCGAAAATTTTCCTTGGCAGTCCAGGTCGCTGAAAGAGGCGCTCAAGGACGTTGAATTGTCCAGCGGTGAGGACAAGCCAAGAAGGTATCAAGATCTCAAGGGCTACAAAGGACTTTATTTCTCAGCAAATTGGGTGAGGACAAAAATTTAAAAATGTTAAAATTAATTTAGAATAATCAAAAATAAAAAAAAAATCAAGGAAAATTATGCATTAATTTTATTTTTTTTTTTAGAAGAATTTATTGGCATTATTTAAAAATATTTTTCTTTAAAAGTATGATAAAATGAAGCCCATAATTTTCCATTTGTTTTATTCATATTGATTTTAAACGTCATATTTTGAGAAATATTGGTCTTCATTTTTTTGCGTGACAAGTTCCAACTGTAAAGCCAAATTGCTGATCGCAAAACATACCTTTTGTTAATTTACTGCATACTAAAAGTAGGCAGTAAAACTAACGGACTCAAACGGACTGGTATGTGGCAGTTCCATTGTTTGCCAGAATAATAATAATAATAAATCGAACTGCAGCTTTATCAATTCAGAATAAACAATTTTATTGTCCGATCGGTCTCATGAATTAGACATGAGCTGACTTTCGCCGCTTTTTTCTTTGCAGTGTCCGCCGTGCAAGGCGTTCACCCCGCAGCTAGTCGAGACATATCACAAAGTTCGAGAAAAAGGCCACCAGTTTGACGTCATCTTTGTCAGCTCAGACAGGCAAGAAGAAAAGGTCTTTTCACACCCTAGTTATTAAAGAAACTTTTCAGGAGCGACAGCTCGTTCGAGCTGTACAAATGCAGCATGCCCTGGATGGCCGTGCCTTTTGAGCTGAGCGACCTGAGAAAGGAGCTGGCCTCCACCTTTGACGTGCACGGCATTCCTTCTCTCGTGGTGCTTGACCCTGACGACAGGGTGGTCACGGACGAGGGACGCCAGGAAGTTTGCGATGACCCACTCGGAAAAGTATATATTATTTTAAAATTTAATATTAAATTTTATTTACAAATATTTAAAAAAAAAAATGTAAAAATTTTATTTTATATTTAGACAATTAATTTGCCAAAAGCTATAAATATTTACAGCTTTTGAAAATATTGGTGTAATTAGGGATGAGATGAAATATATTTAACCTTTTTTTTTTAAAGTAACCCAAATTACTAATTTGACAAATATCGCCTTTTCAAATTTTAGCGAATTAAATTTTGATCTATAAAAATTATTTGTTTTACCTAAAACAAAGTCGACTTTTTAGCCAATTATTTCACAAACATGAACCTTCTTTCTTCTTTCCCAAGCGTAGGGTAATGAATGAAAAACAAATGATTTTACAGGACTTTCCCTGGCCAGACAGACGGATTTACACCCTGACAGAAAGAACTCTGGTGCGGATGCATGACAGGCCAGCCGTAATTTTCTTCGTCGGTGAGAAGCTCTTCTTTGAAAGAACTTTCCCTTTTTAATCTGACACGGATCGATGTTAATTCCCGTCTTATTTTGCAGAAAGTGAAGAGGAACTGCCGTTTGCCGAGAGCGCTTTGCTTCCGGCCGCTCAGAAGTACTGGCACTCGCTGAGGGGAAATAAATCCGATTCGCCAGACGAAGAGGTGGAAAACGAGTTGCAATTCTTTATCGGATGTGATGTGAGTGACACGTGTAATCGATTTTCACGCGTTAAGGAAAGGGGAGCTAAAAATAATTAATATATGCCTCAAGATCGAGATCCCTTTGCAAATAAATAATTATTTCTGGGATGTAATTATAAATTAATTTTTTATAGGCAAAAATTTAATTATTTTAAGTTATTCCTTGGCAGACTTTAAAATCTTGGTGAATTTGAAGGTTTTTATTATTAAAGATCATAAATATAAATTACGTTTAATTTTTTTTTAAACTGCCAAAATAAAAATAAAAATGCTTAGTGTTTTGATTTTGACAGCTGTCAATTCTATGTCAATTTAATTAAAATAATTTTACTTCTTAGTGCAAAGATTTTTTTAAATATATTTAAAAAAATTTAATATTAACAATTTTCTTAAATTTCAGTCGGACACGACAGACACAGTGCGCGAGTTTGCCGGTTTGGAGGATTGGGTGCCGCTTTTGGTGGTTTTGGAGGTGTTCAACCAAAGGGCGGCCACCCTCAGCGAAGGGTTGGAAGTGACCGCCGACAGCACAGCCCACTTTGTCAGCCAGTACCTGAGTGGTGAGCTGCAGTGGACGGAGCTGACGTCGCAACAGGACAACCTGCTGGTGATCGAACAAAGTGCTGAAGGCGCTTCAAAATAGTCCCTCGATCAACGCTAGTCTTGAAAATGCAGTTTTCTGTATAGGTTTCCTCCACTTTGTTATTTCCATCATTCACTTGCTCAAAACGGTTCGATTTTGTACTCGGCAGAAAAGGTGGCGTCACAAGAAAGTCTGACAATTGGCTCATGTGTTTTGTTCCAAAATTTAGTTCATTGAGAGACGGATTTTTAAAAAGAAATTTTGTAGTTTCGAATGTAGCCGATTGATATATAACTGTGAAATATAATAATTTATTGTGTCCAGTTAGCAAAAAATAAAGAAGTGTAGAAATTAATACTTAATTAATACGTAACACATTGCCTGCATTCTCAGCAAATATCCATGCATGTGACTTAAAATCAATGATGTACTCTTGATTCTATATGATTATTTGGTTGAGAGTCCTCAACGTGAAGAATGATAATCAAACTGTGTAAAGAAGTAGACAACTTTGTTTTCAAATAAATGTTTTAAAATTTGTTCATGACACGGCAATGTTTCATTTAAAAATTTTCCACGGGTTAATTAATTCATCAATTTCCGCAATCCCAATTATCAGTATCTTTATTTTCAAAATTAAGTAATGGCATCTCGACAATTACAACACCACAATATTATAATTATTTAACTCATGCTGAAAAATCACAATTTCGCAATGGTTTTTTTTTTAACTATTTAGATTTAACTTTTTTGTTTCCTGTCAAAGAATTAATCAACGCCACAAAAATATTACCCTTGGAAGTTTACCAAAATTAATTGTTTCAATCATAATAAAATATAATGTATATCATTGCCTCACCTTTTACAAATCTGTTTTTTTTTCCAGAGATGCGCTCGATTCTTTCAACCATTGTTACAAAAAACACGTTGGTAATTTATTATGTACAGTCTTAAAATCAATCAATCAACCAACAGCAACTTCTTGATCAGTGTAAAATAATAACATTTTAATGAATCGGAATCGACTAGACCTTCATTTGGTATGAACAGGCGATGCAGCACAGCATTTTATTTTCTTAATTATCTCACCTTTCTAATTCAATTCTTCGAGAAACCCAAATAGACACGCACTGCGAATAAGCCTATATCAACAAGAAGTACACGTCTGTTTTCATTAATGAGCTATAGGGTATTTTCGTACGGTTTAGTTACTTGTGTTTTAAGGGCTACATGATCATATTTGGTCTAAACAGCGATTTCCTTTATCATAAAACACCTCCCCTCTTTCTGTAATTTTCTCCGCAGGTATTTACGTATGTTTGCCAATTAAATATCTAATTTCTCTCTCAAAATATATATTGTTCTGCTATTCGTTTCGTCCACATTAAGATTTAGACATCCAGTAGATTTACTTTAGAACAATTCCAAACTAAAGCGTGTGCTACTCTTGTTTTGCGAAATAAATTTTTTGGTCTTTGCGCGCGGTGCATCAGACTTTTGAACAAAAATCCAATAACAGGGCGCAAGCAGTTTTTTTTCTTTAAATTTCGCCTTATTTAATTTTTATAGATAGGAAGCAGTTATTTTTTTTTTATTAAATAGCAAAGCCTTTCTTTTAAATTGAAAATTTTGCGAAAGCGACTTGATTCATTAATAATTTGGCCTTCTTCGATGCTGCATCAGTACTATTTTTGAGTCAAATTTGCGAGCTATGTTGTGTTGTGAAATAATCTCCCAGGCTAGCTTTCTTTGCTCGAAAAAATAATTGTGAAAGAGTGGAAAGAAGGAATCGTTCTCTTATTGTCACAAACAACTCTACATGTACAATTTATAATTTCCCGTTCACTAACACATGTTTATGTACAAGCTGCTTATAATTTTCTCTCCTTCCAACTTTTTACGCCACAAAAACAACAAAAATTTGTCAAAATATGCAGCTTCTTTTTTGATTGCTTTGTGTTCAAAAGTGGTGTTCTTCGTCAAGCACAAAACCCTTAACACGCTGAAGTATATCAAAAACTCAACCGTGTGCGTTTGCAATTTAGAAGCTCTCCTTTGTCTTGGATGTCGTCAAAAGATAAACTGATTGGCGCGGTTAAAAACTATAACTTATCATATATGAAAACGATATCGACGCAAGTCCATTTTGTTCTGCCGAGATTTGCGTTGGCCGAGTGGATGGACGCGCACTATACTTGTGATTCTCAATCGTAAATCTCTGCACACTCATTTGATTTTCAGCAACATTTCAAACAGGTCTCGCGCCGACGCTGGCTTGAGTGTAGGCCGGTCCGCTTGCTTAGAGTTTCTTGTACCAGAATAAAAAGTGGTCCCCTTCCTTAACGAACATCTCGTCAACGCCTTGAAAAGGATTTAAATTTAATTTTTATTATCTGTAAAAATCCTATTCTAGAAACGGCCAATAAAAACGGAAATGAAACTCAAGCAAGCAGTAAAAAATAACGCAAATAATCGGAGTTTTCACGAAAAACGCAATCAAAACAAAAATTTTAACATGCAAATGACAAAAAAAAATAACTGTACTCACCCTTAGGTGTCAACTTGTCCTTCGAGGGAGGGTGAGAAGGGTCTGGCTTCTCAGAAACCAGGTACAGAAGCCAGTACCTGTATTCAGTCGGATCCTCCTCCAGTCCGCCCAGGGTGTGGATGTAGTGTCCATTCGGCCACACCGAAGATTCAAAACTATATACAAACATCAAGTTAATTTTTCCAAATCTTGGTTTCATCAATTCCAAAATTTACGTAAATCGAGGATCCGAGTGAGCAGCCAGCTGCATCGCATGGAAGAAAGTGGAGTTGTTGGGCACCCTGAGTTCGACCTCTGCGTTCATGTCACCGGCAGGGTCAGTGCCTCTCTGGGCCCAAATTGTGTAGGTCAGAGACACCAAAGGTACACTGCAAGGAAAAATCAGGAATAGAGTAACGAAAATAAAATTCGGAAAGGGTAGTTTATACTCATTGTTGTAGGTGAAGTTTTCAATGATAGGTCCTTTGGCAATATTCAGGAGACTCACTTCCGTCTCATGGGTGAGAGTTTCTAAAAAGAAAATTAATTAAAATATTTGATTTCTTTCAATATTTTTAATTAAATAATTCTATTTTTTAATCACCAAGCTCAGTGTCAGAAGGTGGCAGTCTCGGCTTGTTACACTTGCACTGCGAAGCTTGAGCCAACCCTCTAGACAGCAGAGCCAGGACCACCTCAGTGGTGGTGAAGGTGTCTCCGAAAGAGCCGTCGGGCGCCTGGCTGGACAGAACCAAATTCATCGCCGCTCCTCGGTCCCAGGCAATGGATCCTGCGCCTTCAAGAGCCTGTAAAAATATTAGTTAAGCTGTTTTCAGACAAAATTTTAATTTTAAACCTATACCTGCATGGCGAGGGCAGTCGTGTGCAGGTTTCCGAAGCTGCCGTCCGGTTGCTGGAGGGCTGCCAGGGCAAGTGCTGGGGGCGCAACGAAACGCAGAATGTCACGGTGCCTGTGCTCTTGGGCCACACAACGCAGAGCCAAAACCACCATTGCCAAAGTGTCTGACAACGAGGAGAAGATTAGAAAATGTAACTAGGTAAATAGGTTAATCAATAATTTAAACTATGCCAAACAAATTCGAGTTCATTTCTTGAAATGGATAAAATAATTATGAAATTTTCTTTTATAATAATAATAATAATTTTATTTTAAGGTTAAATTAAAAATAAATACCTGCAGAATGCTTATCTGTGTCGCCAGCGACGTCCAAAAGTCTCCTGATGTGTCTCTTTCTGGCGTGACTGCCCGAGTTGCAAACTGCCAACGTCACGAACGCAAACTCGAAATCAGATTCTGGCTCGTGCCTCAGCAACAAACCTGCAAAAGCCGAGTTAATTAATTTTGCAAATTTCGCGTAAAAACTTTTGTGTTTAATCGAATTTGGCTTCACTGCTGTGAATTAGCACCTAGCAAAAGCTAGACTTACTGATTAGGTCGTGTCCGTGGAAGTCCCTTGGGTCCTTGCAGATGGCTCCCAGGGCCAGAGTGTACTGCGCCAGTCGGCCTGAGCTTATGGGCGGTTCGTGGTGTCTGCAGAAATTAAAACGCACGAGCCGTGAATATGGAAAAGGAGCGACAGACAAAAAGAGGTAGTATTGTTGAGTTTGCTCTGTGTTTTACTGGCTCTGAAAATGAGTCCCGTGTGGCCGAGTTTTATTACGCTGGAGATTTTTTACCTCATTCTGCGCAAAATGAAGGGCGGAATAAAATAAAATATTCAAATTTTGAGGTAAATTTTCTGCCTTTGTTCATATATTTTAACACAAGACTCCTACATTGATTAAAAGACCAAAACCCAATAATACATTTAAAATTTTGGGAAAGAAAATCAATTTTTCCTTTTTTTTTAACTACCACAAGTTAACGAAAATTTTGATACAAATAATTACCTCCAAAGAAGCAAGGCGATCTGCAACTCCAGTTTGGTGGCAGCCAACTCAGCCTTCATCCCTGCGTTTGGGATCCATGAGCAGTTGGACAGTTGAAGGGCGAGCAGAGCCCTGGGCGCGTCACTGCCCCATCCGCCACCACCGTCGCCCAAGTCCTGCGCCTCTTCCAACCACTTCAGGGCTCGGCGAGCGCCCTCGTGCTCAGCACCTCCGATCCATGATGAAATGCGATTAGCCGCCTCTGAAAAACAGAAATAATCAAAAATATTATATTATTACAATTATTTGACCACTTTGTTGAAGAAATTTTACTTATAATGAAATTTCTTTGAAAGGTTCAAATCAGTTCAACCTTTCAGGACCAGTTGACCTTTTGTTTCAATTTTCTCTTTGCAACGAAGGTTTCAATCTTTCCTAAAATAATTATTCTTTTGTAATTTGATTAACGTACCAAATGTTTTTTTTTTGTATTTCTAAGTTGTATCTTATAATGGAGTTAATAAATAATTAAAAAAATATTATTTTCATTATCTCTAAACGGAATAAAATTAGTTTGATATTATTCTTAAACAAAGCTTTCCTGAAACGGCATTAGCGGCAATGTTGGTGGCAATCTTCATAGCGGATAGCATGCCGTGACCTCGATAAGCTTTCGGCGTAATTGATCCAAACTAATAAATATGTTTAGAGCTGGCTGCCTTTATCTCTGCGGCGGCTTTCGGCACATTCTACTCTGCGGAAACAAACCCCTTCGCGGGAAAACGCCCTCCATTCGCTTTCAGGCACAATGCACGGTGAGTGAACGGATTGATTGAGATAAAATAACGAGGGAGAGAAAGACGCATTTCCCGGAGCGCGAAATGCGTTCAGACGAAAATCGCTGAAAGCAACAAAGAAAAGCTTTTAGCTATGTACTTATTAATCGCTGTTTCGACGCCGCCGCTTTCACGTTCGAGTGCGAAATAATCACTTTGGCACTTTGCTGATGCCCGGGTATGTATTTTTTACTCGTCGTTGTGCGAGCTCGGAAAGTTAGGCCGTCGTCTGGCTTTGCGCTTTGCCCACTCGTCACTCGATATCCACGGGGAAGCCGCACAAACTCGCTAATAATACACAACAGTCATAATATTTTCGCGTTTAATCTTCCCTTCCGACAACTATTTTGCTGTTCTCAGTTTCACGGCTCATTTTGATTTCACGCATTTATTGAGCCGATCGCTTATTATTCACGCCACTTAATTCCCTACAAATATGCTCAAACGATCTCAGAAGACAAAATTAACATCAAGATTTAAAACCCGTCTTAAATAAATCTTCAATTAAAAATGATTTTGTAAGTTTTTCAAATTTAACTCTCTTGGCAATCGATTCATCAATCAACTCGTCAGAATACAATTCAAATTTTGAGTAAATATTGATTTGGAATGAAATCTGTAAGCAATGCATAATTGTACTTTTGAACAGTTTTAGCTCAAAAGAAATTTAATATTATTATTAATACAATCTGATTAATTTTTCACAGAAATTAATTTTTTTTTGCTTAAAAATAATCATTATTTTTATTTCCATTTCATTAAATTTTTTGAAATATATTATTATTTTATATTATTTAAATTCATTGAGTTAATAAGCGATGAATATTAATTATTAATATTTCTTTGACCTAAATATTTATTTAATTCAATTTAAAACTGAATCAACTCGGCAACTGATTTAGTTAATTCGGTTTTAAATTTCCTCACTAAGCTATAATTATGATTCCTGACCAATATTATTGTCTAAAAAAACATTAGTACAGACAGATTACATGAAAAATAAATTATATAACAAATTTTTCTCGTACTCTACAAGAAAATAATTCTTATGCTGTAACTCCCTCTAGAAAAAAACCTTTCAGTTTGAAATACTAGATAGTATAATATTTAAATAAAAGATTCTAGACGATTATTTATTTTTCAAGTGTCATATATATATTGATATGTTTTCCAAATGGCTGATACTGAAATAATAATGCATTTTCCATTAAAATATTTGAAAAATGCTCACTTAATGTTGGACACTCTTTTTATCTTCCTATTAAAATTTAGCACCAATGTTACTTCCCAATTTAATGTTCATTCTCCAGCTATAAGTTTCTCAGCAAAATTGCCATAATGTCTCGCCACAGTTTCTTATTCTGATGGTAAAAACGAGCCTGACATCGTTCGCGTCTCTCCCTTCTTTTCCAGTCGACTCGCTCGGGTGACACTTTTCTTCTTTTTTTGCAAAACGCTTGAATTTACGACGAGCACCAGAGGGAAAATAAAAGTAAGATAAAAGAGGAGCATCCACAAATATTGATTCAGAGAAAATATACAACCACTTCTATGTCACCATTTTTTTTTTATTCCGGACAGACACGCAGACTGAATAAATTTCCGGCAGGTTCGAGGGAAAAGTTCGTCAGTCGGTTTCGGGGAAAAAAGTAGAAAGAGCTCGGTGTTTTTTTTTTCTGGTGAAAAGCGCTGACTAGAATGTTGTATTATCGCGCTTTCTCTGGAGAAGAAAGGAAGCTGCTGCTTTTTTGTGCGGAGAATTCTGTTCGCTCGGGGTCGCGTCTCGGAATATCAGCAGGCGGTCCCGAGAGACGATGGATGGAACGTGAGGCAGCGAGTCTGCAGCAGAGCACACGTGACGCGAATCCGCGATTCCGCCGCCGCCGAGTGCGAATCTAATCAATGAGCAGCGCAAAAGAAGAAAAAAGGCGGAGGAATCTCTTTTAGACATTCAGCGGCGCACTCGTTTCGATCGGCCCCAGGATGAAAATTCACACCCCATCGCACAGTCGTCGGAATTGCGGCGAAAAGCAAACTTTGTTGGGCTCTGTGGAGTGAAATTGTGATTGCCAGAATTCGCGCTGCTAACTTGCGCCAACCACCTCCCTTCTGTTTGAGTTGCTTCTCCGCGTGGAAGAAATGAACAGAAATAACCAAACTTATTGAATGTACCGCAGAAGTCATAAAATATTCGCAGCAGAACGAGAACGATTGGAAAAAGTGAATATTTGAATAATTTTGAAACATTTTACCCATCAGAGAGACAAACTACTTTTATGCCAGTAATTTATTTTTTCACCTGCTTAGAAAAATAAAACTGGATGGAACGTGGAGTTTATCTTGTGCAAAATGTTTTTTTTTTTTAAATATAAAAATATATAAATTTAAAATTAAATTATTAATTTTCATGTGGGCTGGACTTGAAAACGATTCAATTTGGTTCAGGGATTCCCGAACGAAAAATGGCCCAAGCAGGTTAACAACATGAGCATTGATGAAGATTATAATTTGCTTGGTTTTTTCTGAAAATATTATTCTTGCAATTAGCTGAAACTAATGAATACGCCACTCTACCGTTTATTTGTAATTATAATGATGAAAATGGCTTTATTTTATTTCTTTTTCTCAAACGTTTTTTGCCCAAGGGATCGACTAATTTTTTTTTTACATTTTTCCTTGTAACATTTGCTTTTCTTTTTCAGTAAATAATTTATTTATAACAATTTTGAGAAAAAAATCTTTAAAAAGAAACCAAAAATCCTGAATGTAGTCAGTCTATATAAATACATTATTATAGATGGATGGATTTTACGACCTATCATGAATTTAGATTACTAGATTAGGGAGGGTCCTATTCCTTCTTATTATCGATAAACTAAAAAATGGGCGAGGGTACAAATTATCATTTGATTGCATCATCGTTTCTGGTCGATTGCACTGTAAAATACCCGTTACTTTTCGACCAGGACGTGATTTTCCATTACAATCGCCGGCCATTCTTTCTTGCCTGTTTTCTGCATTGACTTTTCGCTCTCATTTGCGCGCGCTCTTTGCAAAACCACATTTCATTTTGCCAGCGGTCTCGCCGGGCCAGCATTAGGGCCAAACGGCAGGCGATTTTTCATCCCTTTATCACACACACACGTTCGCTAATAACAACGGAGGAGCAACTTGGCGGCGGCTTACGCCAGAGGAAGCTGCGCACTTTTCACTCGACCCGCTGGAATGACGCATTCAACTTTTCGCACTGCCGTAATGCAATGTCAGTTTAGTCATTTATCATCCTGACAATGAGTTTCACTGTTAGGATGACGGGAGAAGTTATTGGAAAGGCCAAGATTTGGCGATTAATAACAAAAATAATGAAAAGCAAAAAATTTCAATTTAATAAAAAAAATTAAAATTTTGAAAAATATCCTTTAAGCTGAAATCGTTTTTATGAGACAATTAGAAATCTTTAATGGTTATTATTATAGTTTAATATCTGAGCTATAAAATTTTCATAATTTTTGTGAAGAAAATGGCAAATTTCATAATATTAATTTAATTAAGATTGGTATCAATAAGAATAAAAATATTAAGGATTTTGTTTACACAAATATCTCACAATATTAAAAGCGGTTTGCTTAGTTATGTAATTTAAATGTGACCAAGATTATGAGTTTTAAAATAAAATAATAATAAAATAAAGGGCAGAGGCTAAAATGTCCTTCTATTGGCCTGAGGCCTGAACCTGAAAAAAAAACAATTGCTCACTTGATTTTTAAGAAAATAACTGGAGGCAAAGTTTTTATTTTCCAGACTTTTGCAAATAGACAAAAGAGTACACAAGACACAATAAAAATGTCTAGAAACTCTGAAATTTTATTCTGCCCACTTTGGCGACAAAACAGTCTTGGAGAAGCAAGTTTTTATGAGTCGACTGGTGTGCCCGACAAAATAAATAACCGCGAGCGTCCGCATTGCAAAATTTACTCCCGGTCGGCACGCGATCTGCAATCTGGGCGAGCCAAAGACCCTCTTGAATAAATATATTTATGTATATATTTGCATTAGAGTCTGGGAAAACGAATTGTTTGCGCCGAGGCCTCGAGCGGGTCAGAATTGCAAACAAGCCGGACGCGGCGTCACTCTTTGATAAAAGCAGCGTCTTTTTGCGCCGATCCAGCACACACAGGACAAACGACTTGCATTAATTCGGCTGAAATTCGCCGGCCGCTTTGTGGCCGTAAAAGGCCTGTTGTTTTCCCTTTGATTAGCGCCACGTTCAAAGGAAAACTTTTCGCCTGGAACCGCTTAAAAGGCTCTTTTATCCGCCCAGTTAAAAAGCAGATCAAACGTGGTAAAATCACAAAGCGACGGGAAAGCAAAGAATTTGACTTTTAATGTGGTGTTTTTGAGTGAAAGCATTAAATATATATTATATATTTTTTAAATTTGGTGACATACCTGGGTTTTGTGCAGAGATCAGGCAGGAAGCCACGGACAGGACCAGCACGAGTTGTAACATCCGCCTCATAGTTGCAGATTTTGTTCTGAAACGAATTATTTTTTCAAAAACAAATCAGTAAAAATAAGTTGTATTTGTTGGAAAAGGCAAAATTCATGATCAAAAGTTTTGAAAAATTATTTTTTTCTAGCTCGGTTTCAGAATTCCATTTCATTGTCAGTGAAAAATTTATTTGTTATTTTATTTCCATATTTTATAATAAACCTCAATGCGGTAAATGAGGTCTTTTTGATCGTAGAAGCTTTAATAAAATTCTAACAAGTGGTGGTGCCTTTAAGTCACTTTTAGTCCAACAAATTCCTTTGTTTCAAACATAATTGTGTAAAAAAACTAAATTTCAACTTTATGATTTCAACAAAAGAAACAAAAAAATCATTATGGAGTTTAAAATCAGATTTTCCTTGATAGGGTTTGAGTTCAAAACACCATCGATAGTGTTATTCTTCACTAAAAAATAATTAATTAATTATGAAATTTTATATTGAATTTAATTTTTTTTGGTGATTTGAATTTAAAATCGGCTTTTCCTCGATGGGTTTTTGTGAGTTGTTTATTGTTTAAGAAAAAATAATATCCTGCTCTACATGTTTCGGCTGCGGGCTGCAGCCATAATTCATGAGCTTTCTCGGCGGTGGTCGAGAGAAGACTGTCTGTCTTCTCTCGACCACCGCCGAGAAAGCTCATGAATTATGGCTGCAGCCCGCAGCCGAAACATGTAGAGCAGGATATTGTTTTTTCTTAAACAATAAACAACTCACAAAAACCCATCGAGGAAAAGCCGATTTTAAATTCAAATCACCATGAATCAACCCTCGATTGTGAAATTCTACCACAAAATTAATTTTTTTTCTTAAGCTAAAATTTCTGCATCGCTAAACTAATAGTGTTCAATGTCAATGTTTTGAAAAGAATTTAATCTGCAAACTCTTTATTTAAAATGAAATAAAATACTAAATTACAGAATTTCAAACTAAACAACTTTTGCTGGATGAAGTTTTGTTTTAAAGGAAAACATTCCCCGATCATTGCCGAAATCTTCGAAAACATACAGAACTAATTTCCCGTTGTACGGAAGAGGGACAAAAAGTTCTTGGGGGAGAGAGATCCAAGTTTACGCCTCATATAACTTTTTTATCCGGCAATAACGCTTTTACAGCCACGGGACTACGGAGAGGCAATCTTGAAAAATTGCTCCACTTCGGCAGATGAGAAAACTTCCATTCGTTTTGTTCCCGCAAGAGAGAATTTTTTTTGCGGGGTAAAAAAAATATAATAAAGATGCAAATTCTTTGCGAACACAAGTGGACCCCTGCGGGGGTGGTCACCCTGAGGGCCCTCTCTGTGGCCGGGAGCAAGGTTGGTCACATAAATCTGAGGGCTGCTGGAATGGCGCGGTCGCCATGGCAACTGCACACTTTGGGCGCCGCCAATCGATAGCGCCTCAGACAGCTGGGAGCCCCTTTCGACCCCGCGTCGTTTAGCCCAAATATTTGCACAGCCTTTCTTCTTCGTCTAGAGTAGCCGGAGCCAAATAATACGACGACTGCTGCTTCTTCTTTTTTTTTTTGCTGCTGATTGCTCGCTCCATTTTTTCCCTCCGCATTCATCGCGCATCTTTTCAGGCTCGGCCGCTTTGCAAAGAGGATCACGGCGTGTTGACGATGAAACGACTTGAGCGCGCCCACCAGCCCACCCACTGCTCCTGTGATTATTTCATCCCTATCCACTTTCAACTATGAGTGCTGTGGTTTTTGACACCTGCTGTGCACGAGAGCTGGGCTTAATTTCTTTAAAAGAAAAACCAAGGTTTGCGAGTTGTTTAAATTGAACTTTACTGCCATAAATTGAAATAAAACAAGTTAAAAAAAAAAGGAAATGGTAAATATAATTATCCTTGATGCAATTTTTTTCCTTATTTTTAACATTTTATACTCTTTTCTTTTGACAATATTTTGGATAGATTTTTTTTTATTAAAAAAAAAATTAAAAATAACTTAATAAATCATAAAGCTCACAGTGGCGGATAGTTTCTTTTTCAACTAAAAGGTTTCGGCAAATATTGATGCTTTTTTTTACAAAATTCGACGATTTCTTCTCTTTGAATGTAAAGTTTGAACTGATAAATAAACAGCAAAGGTGCAACGTAACTGGCAATTTTTTCAAAGTTAATTGTCAACCAGAAGAAGAAAATTCACTTCAAGTAAATCTTATAAAACATTTTATATTTTTGAAAAAAAATGACATTGATACAATTAACTTTTAAAATACATAATTATCTATCAAAGGACAAATATTTTGTTTCTAATTTCACTCGAAGTATGTAGAACGGTTAAGTGTTTACTTTTCTTCCCTACAAGAATTTACAATTCCGCATTCTTCTTCCACTAGCTGCAGCTATAAATTTTAATTGTATCTCTTTTCTCTTTTGAATGGAATTTAAGTGCAGAATATGCTCCAGTTGCCTTCTTCAATTTCTCTCCCCTTTAAAAAAAAATTCTTATTTATAGGCAGATTTAACTATAATTTTAAATAAAGAAAGAAAGAAAATTGAAAAGTTTTTGAAGCATATAACTGCGAGAAAGACTAATTTTACGTTTCAGATTTTAAAACTTTTTGGCTTCAATGAAAAAAGAGGTAAGTGATCCTTCACAAAAATCTAATTTTTTTTTAACCAAATGTAGAATTTTTAAGGCTCTGATAGAGACGTTCATGCGCAAACTAATTTATTTAACGGAAAGAAAATCAATTTCGGATTCTGCGGCCGGATGCCGGCGGTGGCCCCGGATTCCACGCCGGTCAATCCATCACGCGCAGTGCAAATGATGTGGACGGACACGGCGCGTCAAAAATGACAAATCGCTCGGCAAAAGCGGCCGGGCTGCAAATCGAAGCTGCTCGATTTCAGGCAGATGCGTTTTAAAACGTTTGTCGGCGGCGGGTGAAATTTCAGCGCGCCTAGACGAGAGTAGAGTACTATTGATTTATTGGTCCATTGCAGACTCATCTCGCGCCGAGTGCAAACTCGCATAGCGACCCGTCGAGAGCAGGCACTGCGCTGATGGAAATTCAAATTCCTCATCAGCCAGGCGCGGAGAGAGGAGGATTCTTTTTTCAATTTCCCGTCACCGTCGAGTTTTAATAAGTTTCAGGCGTGCAACTTCTCTTTCATTAATATTCCCTCGGCAAAGGCAGAATGCTAATTAAGATCTGAAGAGAGGGTTGGTGGTTTTCACTTCCAATTGTAAATTTATGATTAACTTTGAGCCTCTTTGTCTCCCCAGGGAAAATTTTGGAATCGAGTTAAATATTTATTTTTCAGAAGAAATATCAAAAACATTGCTAGGAAAGTTAAATAATTTAATAGAACAGATGAAAATAAATTTCCAAGGCTTTCGCTTTCCACGGCAATTGCATGACGCGAATTGGTCAAGGCGAGACTTCTGTATTGACGTGTTGACGGAACATTACACGTGCCGGTTCACATTTCCTAGGAGACCCAAATTGTGTTCAAACTTTTTTGGTTCAGAGAAAAATAGAGTAGCACGTGTAGAAAATTTCACTATTTTATTTTACGATTTTTTAACTTTTTATGCTAAATTTTTTTTATACACATTTGGTTGCTAACTGGATATGATTTTTTTCCCTTTCTAAAACGGACCATTTTATTGAGCATTTAGGCTCCGTATTTCCCAGAGGCCCGGACTAGCGTGCATTCTCTCCTCGTTTTTTTGCTCTCGAACACCTTGCCACAATTTGCCTCGTTATTATTATTATCGTAAGCAGCGGCGGTGGCGAGAGAGTTGAAAGGGGAATGACGTCATGCAATCGAGAGGGAGACAATGGATCGGAAAAGCAGACGCTCTTTATCGCCGCTCGCCATGAATCAAAGTGTGATTAGACACAATGCGCGCCCGGCGAACGACGACCATCGTCTTTTTCCGACCGGCTTTTCCTTGTCTCGCTATTTACGACAGTTGGAAACTCCTTCCTTTATATCTGATATGGAAATTTGGTGGAGTTATTGGATTTATTTCAACACTAAAAAATGGATCGGTTTTTATTATTAATTTCCCATACATTCCACTCTGTCCGTTTTGAGTGAGAGGAAAAATGTTGAGATTTTATCGGAAATTAGAGAGTATGTCTCAATTTTAGCAAAATGGAAAATCGATTCTGTCCATTACGTAACTTTTGGCAAGTCTCCCATGTTGGTATTTAAAAATTTCACCGCTGTTGTAATAATTCAAAATCCAATAATCATCCCCACAGTTGCCTTTATCTCTCTCGTCAAGCAGAAAAAGGTTTCAGTTTAGAGCAAAAACCGTCCGTCCAAACAAAGAGATTTTAATGATGTTCAAAATCATCGAGCCGTGAGGGTATAAAGATAATTGCTTTCCACTTTGTTAAGCACAATCATTCGACTGAAATATCTAGCGGGCTTTCGTTTTTGGTCGCAATCCAGTTGCAAAAACCTTTAATTACAACGACCGACAAAGGACAAAACCAAATGTCGCTGCTTTTTTAATTTGGCTGCTGCACTTTTGCGTTTGGAAACAATGAGCTGACGGCGGACAGAGAAAATATATAAAAAAAAGCCGCGCTGCAAATGTCAAAGCACAAAAGCCTTTTTACCAACGTCGGCTCTGCGCCTCAAATTCGACCCCATTAGGCGCAAATGTCACTTCTCGGTATTCATTACACATCTAGGCAACTCGCCCGACGCTGCTGCGCGGCACGCTGCCTAACCCATTTTCCTGCAGCTGCACATGGTGCTGCTAAAAATGGGCATATGTGGCATGTTGTTCACCCGACCTTTCGTATTGAAACGCAATTCCGCACGGAAAATGAACGAGTCGAAATCGCTCCCTGGGGACGACGATTATTGTTAGATGTGGAATTTGATGCGGCGACGGATTAACTTGTGGTTTGGGAAATGATCCTCTCTCTCCATTGTACAGTTTATCCCACGCATCCCGCAGCATTGATTTTCACTCTCTGTGGAATTAAGCAGTAAAAGCGTTTCGAAAAATAATAAAGCCATGAATTGAATTTTTTCATTAGCCTCGAATTTAGCTGGATTTACTGATTTGTATGCTACAGCTCAAAGCTAATAATACAATATTTGAGTATGTATAAGTATTATAAAAAAAAATTTCCTTGGAGAGAAATATTGATGGCTTTGTAAAAATCATTCCGTTTCAAAATTTCATAGAAAAATTAATTAATTTAAAAATTGTGCTTGGAAAAGAATGAATAATTTGAGCTGAATGTTAAACGAAGAAATAAATTGTTGAGCCGATTGTCAATCAGCAGGAAAAATTACAATTTAATTACCCAAGAATTAAACGTTCACCCAAGAATTTAAAATTTTATTAGAAATTAAATTAACTGGGAAAGAAACGGTTTTGCAACATTTAATTAATTTCTTCTCATCTCCAAACTAAACTGAATTTAGTTTAAACCTCACTTAGATTCACTGCTTTTTAATCTGAGCGCTTTTATTTCATTTTGTGCCAGAGGCAGGCTTTTTGTTTAAAAAAAAGTATTAACTGGTGTAGCAATAACGTTCGGGAAAAAGCCCATTAGTATACGTTTCTGGCTAAAAAGAACGTGGTGTGGCGTGTTCAGCAAAATGAAAACTCAATTACCCGTGAATCATCGCATTTCACGTACATTTCGGCTCACGTTCCGCACACACGCAGTATTTAATATCGCTGTGCGCGATCAGCAGATTCGCTTATACATGTGAATAAACGTGCGTGCAAATGACAGGGTCAGCAGCTGCAAATTCAGTAATAACCACGCACTCGTTTTCCTCCCCAAATTGCTCTAATTCGCCGACTGCGGGCGGAAAAGCTTCGGTGTTTTGCAACGCGAAAGAAAGAAAGGCAGGCAGGCGAGCGAGCAAGCGACAATAATAAAAATTGGCTTCGTAGCCAATATTAATATATACGGACGAGAGAAGAACTCGTATCAGTGCCGCAGCAGAACACACACGCTTTTCTGTTGCTAACCCCTCAGCACTCACCAGCCAGTTTGCGCGACCAAAGAGAGAGAAATCGGATCTATTTATTTATACAGCGCGCACAGTTATTCTGGCAGATTCGTTTGTTCGTTCGACAGTCTCGGATGGAGAGCGGTGTAATTATACCGGGAGTGTTATTTGTGCTGCGAGGGTGCGCGAAATTGGATTAATCCACTCTCCGCCGACTTGGCGGGAGGGCGTGCGCGGAAATTTGCATATTTTGGCGGGATGAAAATTGGGCGGCCGGGAAATGAGATCCGAATTCTAATGAGCGGATTTGCGTCGTGTCGAGGACCTCTGTTTACAAGACAAACTTATGCTGGCGAAAGTTGGGAGTATTCGTCGCAAATTGCGACAAAATTTATTCAGGATCTCTTATTATAGAGGATCCGAATCTGAAATGATACGAAGTTTAAGTGGAAAATGTTAATTAAAAACATTTTAGAGAAATAATCAACCAAGATTTAATTTTAAATTTTAATATTTCAGCAATGTTCTTGCTAGTGTTGGATCATTTTTGTAAAAAAAACTTGATTTATAAAATAATTATTTTAAGTAAGCAATAAGCAACTCTGAAACAAATATCTAACTTGTGTGCAAATTGAAAAAAGAAACAAAATAATCTAATTGTAAGATTGCAAAATAAATTTTTTTTTCAAGTTTCTAAATAATTTAACGCCAGCAATTTGAGTGTAATTGAACAATAACTTAATTATTTTAAGGGACTTGCAAATTTTAGACAAACAACTGTGTTATATTTATTTATTGATCATTATGCTTGTTTTAAGAAGAAAAACAGAGACAATGCAACTTTTCAACTTTCCAATGCCGCCCTCCTAATTTTTTCACTACATGTAAAATTTTAAAGAAAAGAATATTGCTCATATACAAGTAATGAAAATTTAGCCCCTGAACCCAGCATGAAGCAATTTCAAAGTTTTTTTTACCTGTAATATAAAATAAATTTAAAGTCAGCGCATGAAATTCTCTCAAATAGTTTTTATCACCTGAGGCTGTAAAGAGCATTTATTTATTTTTGTTATTAAAGAACAAAAAGCATAAATAAGTGATTTAAAATCTGCACACCAGACTTTCCAGACATTTTTATCACTCCTATGTTCTTTGGTCCGCACCTTTTTATCACAGAAAAGCAATAATGGCGAAAGAGTGTAAGGGAAATAAAATGGGACGTGAAAAGTATCAAAGAAACGAGTCTAGGAAACAATTGGCTCTTTCTAGCACTGGAGCAAAAAGGTCAAAAACGCCATCAAAGACTTCTCTTATTTTCGGTAAGAAACACCAGCGCGCTCTTCTTAATGTGCCTGCAGAGGGAAAAGCGGCGACGCTCCTCTCTCGTCAGCTCCGACGCCGCCCAATTAATTTCGCGAAGACGTTCGTGTTCGCCGGGACACTTTGCGAAATGTTTGTTCTGCGGCTGATTAAAGTGTTCATTAAGGAGTGGCTTGTCAATGGCCGTCGACACCATAGGTCGTTAACTTGCGACCTCTGACTGCGATTGCAGCACGTTGCGGCAAAATACGAAATCTGCAACGAAAATCGTTTCCACGCCCAGCGCCGGAATTAATTAATTTGCCTTCGGACAATTGGCCGTTTTCATTTCTTCGGCCCGACATGCAAATAATGGCGAGGAGAGCCTCTCTGGAATTCCAATTACACACGTACATGGCAAGAGAGAGCACCACTTGGAATTTGGTGCGTGTCGGGCCAAAGCTTTTTATCTCCGGAGCGCGTTTTAATGAAGAGTCTGCTGGATTATAAATTTCAGCCACTCGCGAATGAGTTGTTTTACAGCAGCATTAGGAAGATTTGCAACAGATTCCACAGTTTAGTGTTAAATAAACTTCTAAAAGTTTTCATTGAAATAAATTCAGAACTAAAAAGTAATGAATTACATAAAATTTCTAAGAAATATGAAAAAATTTCCTATACAAAAATTATTCAAAACTACTGAAAATATATATTCATTTTTTAGTTTGACTCGAGTAAATTTTTAATGAAAGTAGACAAAGTGGCACGTACAAAATCTAAATCAACCAAGGCTCGCTGCAGTGGATGAGATCTTTTGATCTTGAAAGTTTAAGTTTCTTTTTAACAATTGCTATTTTCATTGCAAATTTTTCCTTTTTTTAAACAATTGAGACAAATAAACAATGTAAATAATCTCCCGTAATTAATAAATCCTATTAAAAAATAAAATTGTCCAAATATTTGCTCAGTAGATTTAATTTTTCTTTTAATTCTAACGTTAAACTTTAGTACCCTTTCTTATAAAATTAAATATCTCAAATTAAACTTGAAATTAAATAAAATCTAGTTAAAATAAATTAGAATTTCTAATCCTCAAAAATGCATTCAAACTCTATAATATTCAAGAACTAATATTTCATCCACGAGAACGACTCGAGGCTATCAGAGGGTAGGAACGGAGACGTGCGTGCAGACAGTGAGGGGGTAAAAGTGAGCGCGTTTCGCATCTTACTCACGGAAGGGACGGATCAAGGGTTGCGACCTTACCCAACGGGGCGGCTAGTGCATGGAGAGTCGAAAGAGAGTTGCTGTCCGTGCGTCACACCCTTGTGCGAGCTGCCCGACCGACTACTGCACCACCGCCGCCCTGCCGTCGCCTGCACCCCAGCCTCGCTCGCTCGCCTGCTCACGCGCACGCGCCCCCTATGCAACCCGCATAGCTCACTTTTCGGTTGCGGCTCAATCATCGCTGCGTTGCGATGTGGCTCCAAACAAACATGTGCAAAACAAAATTCAACATTTATTTTTTGTCAATTTTAAAAGCGAGTTGAGCTTGGAAAGTTAAATTTTATAATTTAATTAATTAATTAATTTAATTGGCGTCCGGAGGCAGCTTTCAGCGTCTGGAGGCAGCGTTCGGCGTACGGAGGCTGTGCTTGGCCTGTGGTCTTGGCCCCTGATTATTGAGCTCCGAAAGGCCCCTTTCTTCTTGTTTAATAAATTTTTTTTGAAGAACAAACAGACATTCAAATTATAGTGCATTGACTTCTTTAAATTATGTGCTGTCATAAAATTCAAAATTAGATCAAAAATAAAATCTCCAAAATTCTTGACTTGTACATAGCATTAAAAATAGTAAAAATAAAAATTATTTACTAAAAAAAATTTATTTAGGAATTTTTTGGCTTCAAAACCAAATGGCTTTAAATGGGATTATGTAAAGATGTAAGACAAAGTTTGAACTTAAAATGTTACCTTCTTTTAAACCTTTTTCATCGCTCTAATGTTGTATTTATTTACCAACAATACAAAGTTCCGCTACAGTAGTTAACCATTTTATAAAATATTATGCAGTACAAGTTTAAGTTTGTGAGACGACACCAAAAAATTTGTTTTATATTGCATTAAAAAACTTCTACACAACCTGAAATAAATTTGTTAATCTCAATAGCCTTTTCCGTGAATATAATTTGTAGCAATATTTTTTTTTCGCTGCATCTACTTTAAAAAAATTTTAGAATATAATATATTTTTTTAAACAATGAATAAGTTCAGCCTACAAAAATTGTGATTAAGTTCGTCCTACGTCAACAGCATTAATATCATGTGCAAGAGAAAACGACCGAAGGAAATTATTTCTCAACGTTAGTCCCACACAAATAAAACGGTTTATAACATGCTCTTGAATGTATAACACTCCCCTACATCTATTCAAATGCGCCTTTCATCTGCAGGCGCACCGTCGTCATTTCGGAGAACACAATAGTTGTGCTGCGAAGGTCAACCAGTCCCACTACGGGCCGAGACTTCCAAACAAAAATAAAGCGCCATGCGCCATTCACGCTAGATCAGCATAGCGACATGCATAAACCAGGATAATCAAGGTATAAACAAACTCTTCCCACCGTGGCGTTTTTCACGGAATTTATTTATAATTCGCGTTTCGTTCGGTGCAGGAAAGCGTCCGAGCGCAGCAACAGACTTTGCACTGCGTTAATATTTTGACACGGACTTTGGCTCATTTACTCAACATGCTGTGCGGGCTCCACTTTTCACTTGATCTCGACACAAACCAATTAGCCCTAGCGGCTGGATATTTTAAATTGGTGAGTTTTAAAACTATTTAAAAAATATATATACAATGATAAACTTTTCTTTTAAATTTAAAATTTGAGTGATTAATCTAGAGTGCAATTTACAAGTTATTTAAAATTTTGTTCAATTTTAATATTTTTTTCCAGTTGTGGCAAACACCGATGCTGATTCTTTTCATGCTCACTAAATGTATACTCAGCAACAATGATATTATTCACCAGAAACTCGTTGAAGGTAAAATACAAACGTGCAAACTTGGCGTAAAAATTATCATTTTTCTGTCCTTGCCAGGTTTCGGGGAACGAAATTTAGTAAATTTGGAGACCACCTTGACTGTTTTTGTTTGGAACTGTATCTGGAGTATTTTTACACTTTTCCTCATGATCTACGGAGTTCGCAAGGTTGGTTAACTGCATTAAAAAAATAATTAATATTTAATCTAAATAAAATTTATCCGCAGCTACAGAGATGGCTGATGATTCCCTGGTTCTGCTGGCTCGTTTCCAGCACATTGGGTTCCATCGGTTTTTATATCATCTTTATTTATTTCGCCTACGACACCGCGCTGACCACGTCCGCAAGTGACATTTACGCCACATTGCTTTTTACCCTTTACCACGTCATTCTTATTGGTTAGTAATTTTTTTAATAATTATAACCGCAAACTCTGCATCATATCAAATGTAAATTTCTCTTGTCAGTAATCGACTTGTGCTTGGCGAGGATCGTCTACGCGAGCTTCGGGGAAATCGGAAGGATTACCAGCGAAACGCCGAGAAACCTTGTTAATGCTCAACCTGAGACTGAACTTTGACATTTCAACGAAACATTATACATAAATTATTTTCCAATAAAAATTATCTGCACAATAAAAACATGCATTTTTTTATAATGCAATGGTCGGAAATCATTTTGTCAGGATGGGTGCAGTGAAAGTTAAATTTTCGTATTAAATACACATTCATTGATGCGGTAGGAAATGACTCGTGTACGTTTAAGCAATTATCCAATCTCATCAAATCACAGACAGAGCTCGTATTTAAAGCTGCGTGACATTTTTATTGAAACCATTTTTTGCGTGAGCACCGACAAGACTGTTTCCTATTTTGCGATCGAAAATGTTTCGCCAGCAAAAATACTTCCTTCTACTTGACTGCAACCAGGCCGCAGTGGCCATTGCAGTGTTTGAGATCGTGAGATAATTACAAAATTATCTTGATTGTTTTTTTATAATTTGAAAAAAACTTTTCAGATCGCCCGCGTGCCATTAGCGTTTTCACTAAAGCTGGTCAACTTAGTGATGCAAAATAGCCCTGCGCTATATGAAGAAGCAGTGAAACGTAAGTAATTAATTTATAAATAGCGCTTTCAATGATTCTCTAATTTTTTAAAAAACCTTTTCAAGATATTCGAGACAAGACATACCAAAAAATTCAATGGCTAGCGAATTTTGGGTTTATCTACAATGCAATTGCAGCATTTCTGACTCTCATGATAATTATAGCCGTATTTGAAGTAAATTATTATTATTTTAATTATTTGATTAATTAATTGATTCATTCTTCAGGGCAAAAATAAAAAATGGCTCATGATGCCTTGGATGCTACTGGCCATCTTTGAATTCGTCAAATCTACGCATGCATTTGTGCAAGGAGTTGAACTTATTTACCAAATTTCAACAAGTACACTGGCTTTAATTCTGTTATCGGCGGTATTTATCTTTGGGATCAGTAAGTATAAAGCATTTTCATTGTTGATAAAAGGGATGGTAATTTTTGCAATTTAATTTTCAGTCGTCCAATGCTACAAGATAGTGACGGTTATTGCCAGTTTCCGGTTGCTGGGAGCAACTAAAAAAGATGACATTCAGCCTCTTGTGGAGCAACGGTCAGAAATTATTCAAGTGTAGAAAAAGGAAAAGAAAATTTTTGTAGCTGTATTTATTTACTTTTTTTAATTGCACGCCAAATAAAAATAAACAATGAAATGAAAATCGTGATAATTTTAGTTTTCTTTGAGCTAAGAAAGTTGGCACTTAGGTGACTTTCATGGAAAAGAAAAGCATTAGTTTTTTACTATAAAAAAGGAATTTATAAATTTTTTTATACAATTTTTTCTAGTTTGGCTGATTTGAGAAAATTTATGATTTCATGAAATAGGGTCGCAGAAAGTGACTGAAAATCGGTAGGGCTTCTGATTTTATCAAAAATGATGTTTTATTTTATTCAAAACAATTGTTAAATAACATTCAAAATAATATTTTACTTAAAAAAAAACCCTTTAAAATACTTTAAATTTACATATTGCTAATAAACTTTACTCAATAAGAAAAAAATTATTATTTGTAGATAAAAGAATTGCATTTGAAGTTTGCTTATTTCTTTATCAAACAATTAATCATTTGATAGCCTCCAAGGTTTGTTTATGGTTGATGATTTATTTGCATTTCTCGTCACCATAGTTCTAAGAAAGATAAAAGCAATCTGAGGCTCATGGATTTAAAGAGGAAAAGCTCAATATTATTACGTTTATTTTTAAGCACATATCTTTTTATCTCCTTGTATTTGAATTGCACGAATTTAACGTAAATGGGATGCTTACTCAAAAGAGATAATATATATTATGCGGGTTCAGTGTCCACTGGGTAGCGCCACAACGAGCATCTTTCGAAGCAGCTGAACGCGAGTCGCGACTCTGGAGAGGCTAAAATAATTCTCGCGTTACAACTGTTGCCTCAGAGGCTCACATGCTGAGGCAGCTGAGTTGTTTGGTGACTTCACGGGTGTGTTCGCCTCACACTCGCAGTTTTAATTTGGTTTCTTTTCAATATAATCGGCCAGATTGTTTCCGCAGATCGCAATCATGCGATTCCCAAGCACTTTCTTCCTCCGACTTGATAGCCATCAAGCTGCAATAGTAGTGGCAATTTTAGAACTGGTTAGAACGATTTATTTATATTTTTTAAATTTAATTTACTTTGTTTGTTCTTTTCGCAAGCGAATTTTATTCCTTTTTATTTCAGTTCTTCCATGTGCCGTTTGCTTTTGTCGTGAAATTCGTTCACTCTGTTTTAGCCAATTCGCCAAAGGTGGAAGAATTTATAGTAAAGAGCGGTGGTAATTTACATAAAAATATTATTCCAATGAAATTTTTCTGAATATTTTAATTTTATAATATTTTTTAATTCCCATTCAGATAAACGTGAATTTGAATTATTCCTAGTCTCATTGAACGGGATTTTAGCGTCTGAAGTGTTCATGATCTTTTCGATAATACTCATGCTTTTTGGAGTCATCAAAGTAAGTAGCAATAACTAATATTCCACTTTTTATTTTCATTTCGCAAAAATCAACATATTCATATCCAAGTTTTGCTCCATTTGATATTGTGTATTAAACTTTTATTTAGTAGAAGCAGAACTTCACGATTGAGGTTTGATTTCATGGTGATAGAATTAAAAATTTGCTTTTTCCTAAAAAAAACGATTAGGAAAAGCTGAATTTAAATTCAAACACCGTTTATTTAAAAAGAAAAATAAATCAAAATGAACTACGTCACAATTCAACCCCTGAAAGTGCAAAGTAGTTAGAACTATTTAAAAAATTTTCTTTTTTGAATTAAAATGGCCAGGGACTGTTTCTTTCTGGATTAAAATTAACATTTAATTGACTTTTATCATTTATATAATGATTGAACATTCAGTGAAGAGATTTATTTATTAAAAATTATTAAATGCCAAAAATTGACTTTTGATCTGAAAATTAGGTAATTTATGTAATTTACTTACTGCATTATATTATTATAAGTTAGGATATGGCCTCACTGCCAAACGCATGGAGGGTCAGAGGTCAGAGCCATGTAATTAAGTTGAAGGTCAAAGGCCAAATAAACAAAGCTAAATTAGATATTTCTCATAATGTTCAAATAAAATTAAAATTATTAATTTTTCATAGCGAATGAGGTGGTTCTTGGTCCCTTGGTTCATTTTGACAATAGTAGACATCCTGGGCACGCTCCTGATGTACATTGAAGTGGCGGATGGTTCAGTCGCAATAGTGAACATGGTAGCGCCCATCTTACTCTTGACTGCGGCCGTAATTGCGATTATAGGCAAGTGCTGATAAACGCGCTTTAATTTACCAGATAAATATTTTTTGTTCTTAATTTTAGGAAGTGAGTGCTACGTGCTCCTGGCCGTCTTCTGCAGTTTCAGAGAGATTGGCATGGCAAACAGAAACACGCCAAACAGGGACAACAGTGTCACAGTTCAGTTTCAACCGATCGGATCCAATCCTGCGGGTTTGGTTTAGATGAATTTTCGAAATAATTTTTTTTATAATATTTTTCGCTGCCAAAGATCAACAAAGTACCATTTTACTTCAATATTAAATTCATTTTATAAATATTCATTGTGTATTTCATAATATAATATAATTATGTTTCATAAAATTAAAATAATTTAATTTACAATTTTCCCGACTATAGCCCCAGCTCTAAAAAAATAAAAATATGATATTATTATAGCATTATTAAATATTTTTTATTCTACCTCTGGAGAATTAAAAAAGAATATCAAATGAAGTAATATGAAAAGACATTAAATTTAATATTTTAAACTGCCCATCTTTTTTAGACATTGCAAATAAAAATTAATGCGTTAATTTATTTATTTGGTGCCTTCTTTTAAACAGTAGTCTTTCCAATGAGAGCGACTCACAATCAGAAGTAAGCATGTCAGAGATTATGACTACTTCCTGTTAAATTTAATCAATGGTTTAAAGTTCAAGATGTATAGAAACATTTAATATCCGGAGAATCTTGATTTTCATTTAACACGAGAGGACACATTCCCTAATTAAATTAGTCTAAAGTGTGCATAATCTACTTTCAAAAGGCTGCAAACTAAAAGCAAAAAATTACATAATTTAGTAATTGAAACAGCTCATTTGAGAATTGCAAAGAAGCCAGAATTTTTAACTATCATTTTTCGTCCCTTTTGAAAGAAAATATGTTGGAAAAATGAAAATTCTAAAATCAACGACTAGAAAAATTATTATTGTGCATTATTTTTTTTTTTAATATTATATTATCCACTTAAAAAAAAAAAAAATGTGAAAAGCAGAAAATTTGGAAAATTTTCTAGGTAAGATACTCCGAGAAATAAATGAAATTGAAAATTGCAAAACGATTTTTGTAGACGCTGTAGTAAGGCACCTTGGTCCCCGCATCTCAAAATTTTAAACCACCTTTTTATCTAACCAGCTTTCTCTTGTCGCTTACTTGCTACGCTTTTCATGATCTTCATATGGCTGTCTTCCTAAATTTGTAAATTTAGTTGACAAAATGAGATCTGGCTGTTTGGAAAACCAAGAAAGCCAAAAACAACAAAAATCCGAAGATAAAGATTTCCGCTGAGTCCTGGACGTGTCTAGACTAAATTGATAAACAAATAAGGAAATAAAGTTCACGTTACCTTTTTTAGACTCCATTCAGTCATTTCAGTCCATTGACATTCCATAAGCTGCAATCATCATGGACAATAAAACACGCAACTACGGCTGCATCATGCTGCATACTGGCCATGCTGGTAACGTAAACAACACCAGAGTTAACAAATAAATAAACACTGCTGATTGTGAATCTGGAATTCCGCATGTAAATAATACCACCCCGACGTCAAACGGGCAAACAGAGGGGAATCTCCCTCTCTGCACCACCTCTTTTCCCGCCAATCGCTCAAGTTGGCAGCCCTTCCAAAGAGGTTCGCAAGACTCGCGAGCTGTTGTGGTTGTGGTGGTGGAGGAAGGGAGGAAGTCATTAAAATACATACACACATATAACTTGTTTGTTTGTGGTGGATGTTTTTTCTCAACAGGGTGAGTTTACGAATATCCGCCCGCAATTAAAAGCGGCGTACGTTTTTGCCAAAAATTTTGCCGAGCCTCTGAGAAGCCGAAAAGATGGGCAAGGCGGAGTTTTGGGGCCGAAAAGCGTGCGACTCGCGCTTCGGTCTCGAGCTTCCCCTGCCGAGTCTTTTGGCGTTTTTCGGGATTTTCGTTGCAAACAACACTGGTGGCAAGTGTTTTGACTGTGGTCCGTTCGCTTTTTCAGCCCCCTGAAGCAGGCTAACGCTGGTGAACAATGGGTTTATGAGCCATGAAGGAATGGCACCATTTTCCGGGTGAGCATCACTCTTGTTCCAAAGACGTGCAGCCACTCTCGGCTAATTTGCGATTGTGTGAATTCCGCCTATAATCGCTCTTCTTTCAGTATGTCTAGAATGAGAAACCCCAAACCTTCTCCTAACATGTACTACCCTCAAAACGAGGGTCAACCACTGATGCCTCCAATGCCGCAAATGAGGATGAACCAGCAGCCCAGCTACCTGGACGACAGACAAATGAACAGCCCTTGTGGCTACCCCAGGTAAAAATTGGGCCTAAATCAAACAATTATTGTAAATTCAGTTGAATCTCAAGGTTAAACATTTGCCCTTGAAAATTAATTTTTAAAAATTATGCACTTCAAAATTTGCTCCAAGGTTTTATTGAATTCCTTCAATTCATTTATTCTTTCGCAACAAGTCAAAGTAAAAAAAGTCCTTGAATAGTATTATTTAATTTACATAAAAATAAGTTCTCTCAATACATAGATACACATATTTTTAAAAGATTAAAGTTCCTTAGAAATTTTAGTTAATTAAAAAATTATGATAGTGTAAATCAATTTTTTTATACCCACCAATTAACCTCAAGAAATCACAAATATTGTTTTATCAATAGAATAATTATTTATATATTTGGGCATTTATTGCTTCAATTATTTTAATAGAGGAACTATCGATGTGTCGAGGGTTGCAATCATTTTCCCCCCACAGTATTTATCATTTTCTTTTGTGATTATAACTAAGAAATAATTTATTTGGAAGGATGCCAATGGGCGGCACGCCTCCTGAGTTCAAATCGCCACCAATGATGCCCACGATGACTGAGCCTCCGGGTCCGGCGCCAAAGAAGAAGCGGCGGAATGCAGCGTCGGCACCGGCAGCGCCTCCACCACCAGTGCCCCCTGTGATGGACATCATGCCGCGCCCGCCAACTGGCTACGGGGACACCATAGTGGCCTCGAACCCTTTCGATGACTCGCCCTCACACCCCCTGCCGATGATGATGCCTCCAATGCGCAATATGCCCCCCACAGCACAGCCATCAATGTCGTCCCCACTCATGCCGGGCCCCATGAGCCCAATGATGCGCAGCCCACTTCAGGACAACATGATGGGCCCCAACATGCCTATGCAGCCCATGATGATGGGTCCCATGGGGCCACAGCCCATGCCCCCCATGCCACAACAGCAGCAACAACAACCGCCGCAGCAGCAGCAGCCCCCATTTTCACAAATGGCCCCCAAGCCTATGCCTGTCACAACTGGAAAGGTATTTTTTTTTACGATATAAAAAATGCATGTCATTATTATTGTGTAAAAAAAATGATTTTTACACAATTGCTTTTTTCATAGGTTTATCCACCAGATCAGCCGATGGTGTTCAACCCCCAAAATCCTAACGCGCCCCCTATTTACCCATGTGGAATATGCCACAAAGAGGTGCACGACAATGACCAGGCCATACTTTGTGAGTCAGGTTGCAACTTTTGGTTCCATAGGTAAGGCTGCTTTTTATCTATGTAATAAAATTTTATAATATAAGTTAGAATTGCTAAATGAATTGTGTATGTTAAAATACAATAATTCCTTTTTTGAATCCTTTCCATTTTTTTAAATTTTTCCAACTATTTTAACTTCATACCTAACATTTAAAATTTGCGATACTAGTTTAAATTAGTTTCCATTTTGAAGTTGATTTTTAATAAATAAATTATTGTGTTATTTTTTTTAATTTTGATTTTTATCTTTCAGAATATGCACTGGCTTGACAGAGGCGGCATTTCAAATGTTAACAGCGGAAGTTTACGCCGAATGGGTGTGTGACAAATGTTTGACCAGCAAGAATATCCCCCTGGTCAAGTGCAAACCTTAAGAATAATAGATTTAACCAATTGACTGTTAACCCGCTCTTTACAATGGGTGGAATCACAAAAGTGCAAAGGAAGAAAAGCAATTTTTATTACTGCCTTTTTATATTCTGTAAAATGTTACAATAAACAACTATTTTGAAAATATATAATTATGTAACAAAAATTATTGTAAGGATAAGAATTATTATCCTCGATGGTTGTTAAACTAAAATTGGGTCCTCGTCAATATCAACATCCAGAGGGGGACACATTGATACTACACTTTGATCGGATGATCGTTGTCTCAATTTTTTTCGTCCTAGGCCTGGAAAATTCAATTAACATGAAATAAATTTTGAGAAAGATCTTTTAATGAAACTAACCGTGGCTCGACACACTTGCCACGTCGTCCAGACTGCCATCAAAGTCTGTTGATAAAAAGTCATCGTCAGAGGTTGCATGGGTCAGAGTGGGAAGTTTATTGGTCAAAATGGCCTTTTCTTCTTTCATGGCTTGAATTCTCTCTGCCAAAAGCGCCTCTTCGTGTCCGGAGGCGATAGGAGTGGACACCGCTGGTACTGGCTCTGGTGGGAAGATCTTCGAGCTCCTCAGTGAAGACAGCCTTGAGGTGGCCGTGTGGCACGCAGAGTCAAGGGTGGTGATATCGGCAAGGGTGGCACGCACCTTGCGCAATTGCTCCCCGATTATGGTCTCGACGCAGAGGGTCTGTTTGCTGATGTCGTTGAGCGAGTCTTGCGCTTGGACCATTTTGTTGGTTCGTAAAATGCAAGGGGCAAAAACAATGGCCAATGAACTAGCATTCATGCGGTTTACGTCCTCATGTTGTGCCACCCTACATGTGCAAAAAGTCAATATTGCGTAAATTGAATATTAATTATGACTCATACCTAGCTAGGTGAAATATGAGTCGTTCAGTCAGGTCATAGTTAGGCCGTGGAAGTTCTTTGACAATGAGAAATATGGTTTTGACCCTTTCCACTGGATCTGTAACGCTTGCCGCCCGTATGAAATCATCATAATTTTCATAGGTGAGCAGGGGTTCTGGCATTTCACGAAAGAAGCTCTTTAATACAGCAGCCAACACATGGACCTGTTTTATACACATTAGATTTTTAACTGATAAGACACAAATTTTTTTAAATCACCTGGTAGCTTTCCAAATTGACTTTGTCGAGGTCTTGCTCAATGTTGCTTTTCAACTCTCTTACTTTCGAGCTCACACCCGATTTTCTGTAAATGCCCTCAGTGTAGATACCATACATTTCAATGATGTTAATCAGTCGATCAACTACAATTGGAATCTTGCAATCGCCATTGCCAGTGATAAGTCTGTAGAGCGGAACGCCGAATACTTTTCCAGCACTGAAATGCGCTGGGTCAACTCTTCCGCAATGCTCCTTTGCTCGTGAGTAACATTTTCGATGGCAAGTCAGTTTGCAGTCTGAAAAATTGATTTTAAGTTCAGAATATTATTGAAGGTAGGTGCAATTTTACTTTGGCAGACGAGACCACGTTCTATTGGCCACATGAAGAACAATGAGCAAACTTCGCAGGCGGTTGGAATGTTAATGATATTCAACTGGAATAAATGCCCCCCGTGCGAGACTAGATCATCGCGCTTCTTCTCCTTCTTGCGCTTTTCTTTCGGCTTTTCATCTAATTTGTTCTGAGCCATGAATTCGTTGAGAAAGCCACGAAATGCGTTGACACCCATGGTGACTGGAAAGTCTGAGCTGGTTTTCTCCTTCTGGCAAACAGTCTCCATCACCTAGGACACAAATATGTTTTTAAAGAAAATGTAACGTTTTCTTATAGTTTCTCTTACTTTTAGGAAATTTGCTATGAGATCCTTGTATTTTATGCTAACAGTGTTTTGTTTGCTGGCAATACTGTAAGTGGATACCAGGTTCTCCTTAAACTCCAAAAGGGTCTGGCGGAAGACACGATCCACTTCACTCCTCTTGTCACCCTTTTTCAGACCTTTCTCTAGGGCAAAAATCTACCAAAACTTACTATTACTTTTTGAGTTCAATTTTTAAACATTGGCTTGCCTTTTCAGTGATGAACTCTTGCAGCATTTTGAGTTCCCTGGCGCCTGAAATAATTCTGTCCGCACTGTCCATAAATTCATTGACCCCGGTAAGGTTGAAGTTGCTTGCATTTTGACTCTGCTTACTCGAGCTTGTTGACGACCTCTTCCGATTTTTCCGTCTACCCGGTTTGCCTCCCCCGCTTGTGTGCCTGCACTGCTTCTGCTGGACGCCCCCGTTTTGGATGCACTTGGTGTGGAATATCTGTTTGCATTCAGAGCACTTGTAGCCCTGCGTGTGGAAGGCGTCAATGCCAATGCCGCAAAACGCGCAGCAGTCGTCTTTGCTTAGCTTGATGGTCTTGCGGAAAGTGTGGCCAGCAATTTTGAAGATGCTGCCGTGCCACTCAATGTCAGACTTGACAAAACTTTCCTCACGCGCTTCGGCTTGAGTTTCTGAAGAGGACCGGTCGGCAGAGTCCATTTCGTTTCCATAAGAGTCGCTTGACAACTGTCGAGCAAAGACAGGTTTTGACTTCCGTAGATACTGATCATCGCCTTCAAATCTGGCTTCCTCTTCACTATCACTGCTCCTCCCTTTATCAAGCTTTTTTGTGCCAATCAAGGCCTGGAACTGTTTCTTTGCTCGTTGTTGGAATGTAGGTCGTGAGCCTTGCGGCTCAACGCTTCCCGATCTAGTCACTGCTAAGCGAGGCAAGCCTTTAGATAATTTGGTTAATGAATGACCCACACCAAATTTCAAATCTCACCTTCAAGGCCTGGACTGTAGAGAGGCGTGGAAGGTTTCTTGGAAAGATCATGTTCTGATGAGAAAACTGATGAGGAACTTGAGGGGTGTCTATTCAAGAAAAATAACTGTTACTTAATTCTATAGATTTCAATTTTTTTTACCTGTACCGCCAATCGTCTGATAAATTGACAGTGACATATGACTTGTTTGCCAATCGCCGAGCCTCCTGAAAAGTAAATTATGCTCAAGTTTCAGTTTTATCTCCTGGCATTGGACATTACCTTCCGATGATGACTTAGCATCTGCTGAGTCTTTTTCCGTACGAGATTTCCTCTAGCATGAGCTTGAACTATAATCAATCCTTGAATCAGTCTCTTGTAACGACATTTAGCTCTGTATCCTCTCCAGAACCGTTGAATATCAATGGCAGCAGAATGCTGAAGCCGCAAAAGTTGCACCTTCTGCCTGGCCAGATAACCACGGCAGTAGCTCTACAAGAATTATATTTTCAGCCATTTCCACAACTATTATGTTTAAAGTAGTACCTGCAGCGTTATGACACCTTGTTTCAACTTTTTGAAGCGTTTTGATTCATAATGAGCTCGAAACCAACGTTGAATGGTCACAATGCAAAATATGATTTGCTGGTGCAGTTTGCTGTCCAGTTTAAGCTTTTCAGACTCTCGGAGGAACACTTTCGTTTTGCCCATTTGGAAGTTATCTCTGCTTAGATTTAGTTTCAGCATGATGTGCTTCACATCATTCTGGGAACTGTAAAATTTAAAGTAAAAATTGACCTTTTAAGATTACCAAAGAAACAATCCTTGCCTCAAAAGTCCCTTTGGCAACAGAATTCGATACAGTTGAATGAACTCGTCGTAGGAAAATCTAACGTTGTAACCAGCCTGTCTTATCCTCACAGTCTCAAGCATGCCAGTGTACCGGAGCTGACGCTGGACTGTGTCAGTGTCAAATTCGTTTGATACCTGTCATTTGCAAAAGATTATAAATAAAGCTCATAGAGTAAAAGTAATATAAGTATACCTTGTTGGCATTGCTTTTTATGCAGCGGATGAAGAAAGGGTTGGCTTGATTGAGCGTCACCATTAAACTATGAAGGGATTGTTGGAATTGAGCAGAAACAGTCTGTGGCTGTTTTCTAGTTTTCATCTGGCCATTGCCATAAAGTTGATGAGTTTTGCACGCAAGAGATTTCACCGACTCTAGATTTTTTAGGCTCTTCTTGCGTCTGTCCCTTGGTTTGCCTGATTTGTTTTTCCTAAAAGAAATAATAAATGAGGCAACTTAGAATTTAAACTGCCATTTTCTTACATGACAATTTGGTTTGCTTTTTCAAGGACAATTGCTTCACTTGGATGAAAAACTTGGTCAAAACTCTCCTTCCTCAACAACATGGGTTCAATTTCACTGGTAATTCTGATTTTCGTAATGTTACTTTGCCGGTCGATGTCCTTCTTGTTGACTATGACTTTTGGACTAAATGAAAATTTATTAGAAATATTCAGAAAAGGAGACAAATATTCTAAATGACATACCTAATTTGCTTAGCACTATTGTTGGGTTTGGAATGCGTGTACTGTAGGCCAAAGTTGTTTTTCCCTCCATCTGAACAAGATAAAGATCAAGACTAAAAATATTTTTAAAATTCATTGAATTACCTCTCAAAGATCTGTGCTTCTTGCCAGCCTCATTAAATGCAAAGAAAGCTCTAAAATATGCTCTGACAATTGCCCAGCGGAACACAGCAACAGGATCAGCACCAACCAACTCCCGAACAAAGGCCAAACTGCTGTTTTTCAAGACACTGACTATGTCAGGTCTCATGAGGTCTAGATTTTTCTCTCGAAACTCGCGAACTTGGTATTTGACTTTGCCAGCATAGTGCTGGACAATGAAGGCAGCTTCTCTTCTATGGGGCACCTCGTAGAATTTGTTTTCTTTGTGCACTGTGTTGTATTTTTGAAGCAACGTCTCATCTGATGCACCAGGGAAGCTGCAAATGACACATCTCATGCATTGGCACTTATGTTAAAAATCTCTTACTTGCACTGATCGTCCAGGATGCACAGTAAGCCACTGGGCTTCCCTTCGATCATAGTCAAGCAACCAGCATTATCTTTGAAATCGATGCTCTTCCACTTGATGCCTTCTCTGCTGTATTCCTCTTGTTCATACTTAAACACATGCTGATTGAAGTAGAACTGCAAGTGCTCATTGGCGTAGTTGATACAGAATTGTTCATAGCTAAATTTTCATTATTATTTTCTAGAAAATTAAAAAAAATTAACTTCACGATACCTATTGCAATTCCCAAAATCTTCGAAACCGAAAATGTCCAGCACTCCGATCGAACAACCATGGTGAGCACGCAGGGTATCTTTCTTTGAAAACAAGGCGTGGTTCACTTGCATCACAATCCAGTCAAACAAAGCTCCATAAAGGCATTTTGCCATTGCATCCCTGGCAGCTATGGCCTGGGTTTTAACAAAAAAATAAAGATCACACAACACCGGGAATTATTTGATTATTACCTCTGGTAACCTATAGTTAATGATGAGGGTCTCCCCTGAAGCTTTCGCCCGTTTCGCAGTCAGAGCTCCGAGAAGGGTTTCTTCCTTGACCCTCAGAAGCTCGGATATGAGACTCACAACCTCCTCATTCTTTACACCTACAGCTTCATCATGATGGTAGGTTGACTTTCTTGGAGAAAATTCAATGTTTCCTAGCAGAAGTACAGCCGACAAGACGGCAAAAAGGCGCCGCTGCTTCTCGGCTGAAAATCCTACCATCTCAAGAGATTGCTTTAAGCGAGAAAACTCGTAGCGTTCATCAACATTCTCAAGCTCTCTAACTTTACTCTGCAAAAATAAAAAACAGCCGTCTGTAAGAGACGAAAGCAATATATGTGGCTAAATACTGACTCTGTTCAAGTAATTGTAGTCCTCCACATTTTTCAGGTGCAGCGACTTCTTTTCAGAATCACTTGAGCCAGACAACAGGTAATAAAATACATGGTAGTTCCTTTCGTTCCTTCCCTGGGAACAAATTCTTGACTTTTCCAATAAATATTTCTGAACCACAGCCCTGAAAACACATTTAAGAAATCAATGGATATCTAATTATTTTTATCAGTTGCAAAAATCGTACCCATGAACCATTCCATTTTCTTTGTAGTTAACTTGAATAAACTTGCCGAAGCGGCTAGAATTATTATTGTGCGCAGTTTTTGCATTTCCAAATGCCTGAAAACATAATTTAAATAAATATTAAGTGAAATAAAAAGTAGAAAAAATATAATTAGTTGAAAAAATTTACCTCAATTGCAAGATTATTTGTTGATCCCACATAAAAATTACAAATTTCTTAAATAATATTTTTATTTAAATGCAATTTTTATGTGGCAGAAAACAAAAGATAAACTGACCTCAAGCACTGGTCCTGCACTGAGTATTGTCTGTTCGACACCACTACCCTGGGAGCCTTTCTGGCTGAGGGCGGTGAGGTGGTGCAGCAGAAAGTTGGTGCTCTCCGTCTTTCCGCTGCCACTCTCTCCGCTGATCACGATGCACTGGTTGCACTTGTCGCGCAGCATGCAGTGGTAGGCCGCGTCGGCAATGGCGAAGATGTGTGGCGGCATGTCGACCAGACGCCTGTTCTGGTACAACTTGACATACTTAGGGTTGTAGATGGGGTAGAACTTGAACGGGTTGACTGCGATCAGGATGGAGCCAACGTATGTGTAAATGTAGCCGTTGCTGAAGCGCGCCCGCAGGTTCTCCAGCAGGTTCTGCTCGTTGAGGTCAGGCAGCTGACACAGATCTGGATAATCTCGGTCCTTGGGTTGGTACAGGAACTGGTAAAAATAATCTCTAATCAGCTGAGGATCCATGGTGAATGAGTCAGTCCAATGAGATTCGGAAGCCTTCTTGCGGAGGTAAAATCGATGTTCAGTATTAGTGCCCTGGAATACAGTCATCGAAATGATATTGAATCATGATGATATTTAATTTTCTTTTATAAACATTTTGTATTTTCAATTTAAATAATTCATAATTAGAGAGCAGGAAAATTAGAGTTAAAAATTATTTTCCTTATATTTTTGTGCATAATAAATAGATTCTCTTTTTTAATATAAAAAATATATATATATTTTAACAATCTTTGCTCTGTAGTGTAAAAAATTCTAAAAAGCAAAATATTAATTATGTTTTGATAAAGTAAGTGAATATTTTTGCTGTGTATGATGATGCTACTTTGTGTAAAAATTACAAACCACTACACCCAAGTTTTCTTCGCTGAGGGCAGTCTGTTATTAGGAAATGGCGCGCCAAAACTGAGATGGTTATAAAAAACGCAAATAATCATACAATCTTCAACCCATTTTTTTATCAAAGCCGTTGAGCCTTGTTTATTAATCATAACAGGAAATGGCCTTTTTATATATCATTTGCAAACACACCCACGCCCACCCATTGTAAATTTTTTTAGAAGTCTCCTATCTTATGGGACGGGAAATGAGATAGAAGAGATAGACAAACAAAATATCCATTAATTGTTTTTCCTCAATTAAGAAAACTGAAAACAAAAACACCCAAATGGATTCCTAACAAATTCTATTTAATACAAAATCCGACTATATTTCATCGCAATAATTTTATTATAATTAAAAAATATATATTATTCCTGTCTGATAATAATATTTTTATTTTGGTGACCTGAATTGATCTTAAGTAGTCCAAATTAGGAAATGTCAAACAAATGTCAGAATGATATATTATTGCCCTTTTTAAGCCCCTATTGAGGACATTTGCACGCTTCAAATGAATGTCATTTGTGAGGTTGTCCAAACCTGTTTAGGCCAAAGTAGCATGAGCGCCACGGGACACTCGTCGGCGCCGAGGCGTCGCTCCTTGCACTCCTGGCCGACCACCTCGGCCAGCTCGTACTCGTCCAGGCCAAGCGACAGCCGCTCGGTGATGCAGGCGACGATCTCGTAGCAGGTGGTCTGCTTGCTCGCCTCGACCGAGAGGGCCTCGTAGTGTTGGGACAGCGCGCCCACGAACACTTGCACGATGAACCGTGTGCCGTCCATCGCGGCGTCGTTACATATTGGCACCTGCGGAAAGTGAGCAAACGATTAATGGGGCGAGCTCTGGCACTTGTTGGCTGGGCGTGGAATCAAGGACGTTGGGTCTCAGACGCGGTGGCGACCGCCTCCCGTCCGATTCGGACGCGCCAGCCCTCGACGGCGCTGCCGGACGTTTGACGCACCTGTTTTTGTGGACGGCAACGTGTTGAGTGATCTCATAGCGGCGTCATTACGGCGTTAATTCGTGCACTTGGCGAACGCCTTACAGCTGTACATAACAGGTCATTGACAGAACAAGTGAATAATAAATAAATCTACTACATACGAGCGAAAGGAAAAGGACATTCCGCCACTCTGATTGGATGTTGCCATGGAAACTTGTGCGTTGCTCCTTGAACGGCACTTAATTAACGACGCCCAAACTCGCCAAATAAATGCTTCTGATTTAGAGACAACTGCACCAACCTGTAAAATAACATAATTTTTTATTTATGTAAATTTTAAATTAATTCCGTGAAGTTTCAAGAAATTTTGAATGTTTTTTCGCCCACCGGAAAGTTGTCGCTCCGTATCATTTCCATTTACGGCAAATCTTCTTTGGCGGCCATGTTTGCTGAAAATTCCTCCTTGGATTTTTACTTCCGACGGACCCTCCCCTTCCTCCATTGCTATTCCTTGACAGCAACAACTCAACGTGACAATGGCAGACGTACGTAAAATCAAATTTTTATCTCATTTTATCCGATTCATCAAGCGTATTACTGCACAAATTAATTAACAGTTTTGGCTCACATACGTCCTTTTACATTTTTAACGCATTATATCTAAATATAATTGCCAGATTGACCGAAAACTTTGAACCGGCCGATGGACTGATTCCACTGTTTTGATTTTTATTTTCAGGTTGATGATGGTACCAAGAAGAAGAGGGCCTTCAGGAAGTACACCTACAGAGGTGTCGACCTTGACCAGCTCCTGGACATGCCAGCGTAAGTCATTTCACCCCTTACTTGTTATTGTTTAAGAATTTTCCATTGATTACAGTGAGCAGCTTATGGAGTTGATGCACTGCCGTGCCAGAAGAAGGTTCAGCCGAGGTCTGAAGCGCAAGCCCATGGCCCTTGTGAAGAAATTGAGGAAGGCCAAGAAGGAAGCCCCTCCAAATGAGAAGCCAGAGGTTGTCAAAACTCACCTCCGCAACATGATTGTTTTCCCCGAAATGGTCGGAAGTATTGTTGGCGTATACAACGGCAAAACTTTCAACCAGGTTGAGATCAAGGTAAGGAGAACAAATATTAAGTTTGTTACAAGTACTAATATTTCAATTTTTTTTGCAGCCTGAGATGATTGGACACTACCTGGGAGAATTCAGTGTCACCTATAAGCCAGTCAAGCACGGCAGACCAGGTATCGGCGCGACCCACAGTTCTCGTTTTATTCCCCTTAAGTAAAATAAACTTCCTTATTTGGTCAAGCCAATGCATATTTTATTTAATTAATCAAAAATATTAGAAAAAAAGCTTTTATTTTTCTCCTCGTTAGCTTCTACTTCATGATCAAATTGATTCCCAAGTGAATCCACTCTCTGGATCAGATAGACCAATAATGTTGCCCTGAAGAGCTTCTTTGAGTTGTCGTAAAGGCTCAAAGCCCTGCAAAGACTCAAGGTCGCCAACCAGAATCAGCTTGACCCTGGCCCTGGTGATAGCTACTGTCAGTCTTTTGAAGTCAGTCAGAATCCCTCCACGTTGCTAAAATGCATTCTCATATTTGACAAATAGTTTCAAGCATATTTTTAACTTACTTTGTTGCTTTCATTCTCTTCAATGAATGACTTGGTGAATGAGACAAGGCAAACCAACTTGTCTTTTCCTTGGAACTGATCGATAGTGGAAATATCAAGACCTTCATGACGTAATGAGGCAGAGATAAGCGCAACTTGTCTTCGGAATGGTGTCATGACACCAATGTCCTGACAGATGACTCCTCCCTGTTTAAAAATTAGGAAATGAAACACCTAAATCTTCAATTAAATCTACTGTACCTTAATGAGGGTTTCCACTAGCACTGCAATCAATGCAGCTTCTTTCTCATTAAAAACGTCTTCAGTTTTGGGTTCGTCATCATTCGCTGCCTTAGTTTTGCCAGTATCCACAAAGACTGCTCCATTCTCATGAGTAAGGATATTTCTAAGCCACGAAGGGCAAGTACTTAGCACCTGAGGAAACAAAGTTGTGACAATTTAAATTACCCATGAACATTTTTTGAAGTTGCAATTTTAAAATTCAGAAGTGAGCATTATTTTTAGCTTATAGATAAATCATGATAATTTTTTTAACTTCAAAATTGATATTAAAATATAAAATAATCTGTGTTCATTTTCTTACGGTTTCTTTTGGAAGTAAGAACTTTGATTGAGCAACTTGGTCATTTCCACACTTAAGAGCACCTTTGTAGGTTATCTTGTTGGCTAAATCGCAGATAGATGCGTTCATGCGATATTGCAAGCCTAGGACTGCTGTGCTTTGGGGTCTCTGCAGTCTCTCAAAAAGGGTTTCCTCCATTCCAAGCTCCTTTGCATCTTTATTAGTGACCACGGGCTGCAGTTGGTCAGGGTCGCCTACAAGGACAAATCTTTTGGCACAGAGAAGAGCTGAAATTGCAGACGGCTGAGGCACTTGCGTGGCTTCATCAACGATGCAGTAATCAAAATGCTTCCTCCTCAGAAGAGGATTGTTTGCACTTGTACATGTGACACCAATGACGTTCTATGTTAAAAAACGGAAGAGATAAATATAATAGAAAATAAAAATTTAGAATCACCTTTTCTTGAACCAGTTGATCAAATTCAACAATCGACGAAGCTTTTTCCGACAAAGCAGCTTCCGTGTAATCCTTCAGGCTGTTTGCAAATTTACTAGACGCACCCAATCTGAGGATGTTGAGGTTGAAAGGCAGTAGGCGACATAGCACATTGTCGACAGCAGAGTTGGTATGGCTGGTTACTAGAATTGAAAAGCCAAGGGCTGCAAGAATTCTGACCAACGTCACAATCGTTGAAGTTTTCCCTGCAGTTAATAATGCTCAAATAAAATCTATCAAAGATTAAATTTTTTGTTACCGCTTCCAGGGAGACCCTGCACCAAAACATAATCTTGAGCCTCTAGCACTCTCTGGACACACATTTTCTGATCCATGTTCAGACTCTCCAGCACTTCAGGCATGATTTTGTGCACATAATTCCAAGAATCAGATTTGACAAATTTTGGATCAATCCTGAAGATTTATTTTGTAAAGTTTTCAATAAAAAATTCAAATAGGATTGCATTCAAACCTATCGATGATTCTTCGTCGAAGGTTGAAAGCTTCATCAGTGTTTGCTAACAAACTGGCCAGTGCTACTAACTTCGTTGTCAACATTCTGTTCGACTTGTAAATATCCAGGGTATAGTACTTGTTCCCGTACTTTTTAGAGAAATCTCTGTTAAATTTTTTTTGTTACTTATTTATCTTAGTTTTAGATGGACAATTTTTACGCACTTGTCGACAGATATTTCAACTTTGTCAGCAGAAATACTCTTCACAGTAGCAAGGCTCAGTACAATTCTCTTTTGATTGCCAAAGACGACAAAGTCGCTCACATTGATTCCCGCAGCATCCAATCTGTCGGAGCACTTTGAGTCCTCTGCTCTTGACAAAATAGTGGTAAACTGAAGACCATTTTTCACACAGGATTCAATTTTTAATGAACTCAAACAACCACGCTTATCAGCCTCCCTAGGAATTGATCCAATTAAAAATCATTCATGCGCATTTATAGGTTTCAAACCTTTCATGTGGTGCTTTGGTCCACAAAATTTCCAAGTTCACGTTGCAGCCCTGTTCCTCCAGTTGAGTTAGACAAGCCCAATGAATAAAGTAGTTAATGTGATTTTCAGTCAAATTTCCTTCTCGCTCTTTCAGCCTGTCCTTTTGCACTGGATTGTCGTACTCCTCTTTGCTGGAGTAAGCAGTACACACCTGAAATAAATTTTATTTCATTTTCATTATCTAGGGAAAACTTAAAGACTTGCGTCCAAGTATGGACATCTAATGCATTCTCTAGGTCTTTTTATGGGCGCTGGCAGCATTGGCGGTTTCATAGTCTTCTTTTTTGGGTTGTTTTCATCCTCTATTATTATTTCTGGCCTGCCATTGATTGCCTTTGCTAACTCGTTACGAAGAATGATCGCATCCCTCATCTCACCCTTGTTTGCTCGGACTTCTTTCACAGCACAGTTCCTTAAAACAGGTCAATTTTATTTTCATTAATTTTTAATTCAAAAATAAATAAAATACTGATATACTTCAAATATATGAGAAGTCCATATTGAACAGGCTTCTGCTCTGCCTCAGCCATCATTGCGGAGTAAAGCATTAACTGCCCTCGGTGGCTTACTTGGTCAGTGTCCATTCTGCCAGTCTTCAACTCCAACGGAATTTCCTAAGTAGTTCAGTTTAAAAATTAGTAAATAATTTTCTATTTTTGAAATGCATGTAAATTTTTTACATTTATCTCTTTCATATTGCTGTAGTGCTTCACCCTTCCAGTAACATCAAGTTTCCCTTTTAGACCAAACTGAGGCATCCAGAGGGTGTCCTCGATGTCTACCACTTCATCAATTTTCCCAGGCCAAACATCGCTTCCTCTCTTAGAAGCCTCTGTCAAGAGATCGTCACTCAAATAATCACCAGGAGAAGCGTGTTGTTCAAGAAACCTTTGAGGATAAGTTTGAATTCTGAATATATAAGTTATACTCTATATTTTTACTTGGCAATGCTCGAGAAGTATGGTTGTGCAGCTTCTTTGAGCTTGGCCAGGTCGTTTTCCATGGTGTACATGTCAAAAATTATCCTCGGATTCTTCAAAAGCGACTCAAACACTTTTTCCACAGAATATTGGGTGAGCAATTTTTCCTCGAGACACTACGATTTTTATTTTAATATTAAATACAAGAATAATTTAAAGCAAAAAACCTGCTGGGTGACTTCATGCATCAGTTTGCCAAGTGCTAAGTAACCACCTCGATCTTCCTTGCCCAAGCCCTTGAAAAGCTCAGAGAGAACAGCAGCCCGTCGGCAGCGAAGTGCAGACATAACTGTTGTGCAACTGAGCAGCACGTCAGGCTCTTCAACCAGGAGGCAAATGTCATCAGGATCATCATAGACCATCCACTCTCCAGCCAAAGACTTAATAGCTCTGACGTTGATTGTACATCCTTCCTTTATATTACTCTCCCAAGACCTATAAAATGATTTTTTTTTTTAAATATTTTTATGCCTTTGCGGAATAGAGAAAATTACCATGATCCACTCATGGTGCAATTGGCCACTAGGTCCTTGTTTCCAAATGATTGCAATTCTACTATTTTACTACCGTTTGCTTGCATTTCAAGACTCTTCACTTTGCACCTCTGGATAATTGAAAGGTCAAACTCCTGTGACTCGAGCTTGCTGTAACATTAGAAATTTATTTATTAAAGTCACTTTCAGAATTAAAAGAAAACAAATATTATACATTTTTTTTATTGCATTAATTAAGTTAATAATATTATATGCTACATACATTTCTCGGAAGCTGGTTTCAACTTCGTCTTCACTGCAGAAGTCAAATGTCACGTCCATCAAAGAAGCCGCTTCCAGAGCCTCAAGTTCTTTCAATTCTTTGGATCGCAATTCACTACACCCTGTGTCTCCACAATCTTTTACTCCATCGATGATGCATTCAATATTTTCCTCAGTTCTCATCTTTTTCTTCAATGGAGATTTTAATTGAAGCTCTTCTTGAGGTATTACTGGTTTTTCCTTCAAAGCTTCCTGCTTGATATCCATAGTTTCTGATACTTTTGTTTCTTTTGTGGATTGTGTCACTGAATCGTTTTCTTTGAACTCTTCAATTATCTGAAAAATATTATTTAAAAGTTTTACAAAATTTACCGAAAAATAAAGAAATAATTTCTAAACCTTCACATCATCATCTTCCTCAAGACAAACACTGCCATTGTTAATGCCAATTGGGACTTTTTTCAAACTTGGAGAAGTGACGGAAAAGTAGCTTGTCAAAGTCTGCTGCTTGCTCTTTGAGGATTCTGGCAATGGGACCTGTAAAATTGTATAATAAGAAGCAGATATTAAATTATATTTAAATAAGTTATTGGCAGAGAATAATATTATTGTACATGACGATTCATAAAAGACCCCCAAGAATTCTGGTAAATAAGTGACAATAAGTGAATAAACGTTTTACCGTTAGATATATAGGATGAGATAAAATCAAATTATTGTTCTTATATTTTCCGCTTATGCTGATATGCCCAACAATTAAGATTGTAAGATAAGATAAACTCACATTCTAAGTGGACACTGCGATGTATGTATGTATATATGAGGGTTATCAAACTATTCGAATTCAAAGTATTCCAACAATTAACCCAAATATCCAAGGTGTTTTATGCATGCATGCAGAGGATAGATTTGAACAGACGATTTTGGAATTTTTTGAATCAATATTATTTCCATCTCTTACCTTCTTTTTCGCCTTATTTTTGCTGAGACTGAGCTTCGACATCGTGAGTGTAGGGCAGCTTATATGCTTTTACGACGATTAACCAGATAAAAATGTCAAAAATGTTTAAAAAGATTTTGCGTCTCCTCGACAGAAATTTACCGGGACTGGCGCGAAGAGAACAGTACCCATGTGACATTAGCAGCTGGGGGGCTGGGGGGTTTTCGTCTGGGTAGTAGCGATAGGAGCTAAACATAAAAATAAAAATTAGCAATTCTATTGGCTAAAATTAAAGATAGTATTGAGACTTTAGCACTCCTCTCATTGAACCTACTCCAACCATATGATAATAAAAGAAAACAAAAACAAGTAAAACAACTCACAAAGAAATTTAAGTTAAACGTTTATATAGCTGATTTAGGGGTAGTAAAACAGCAAATTGTAAGGTTATGCACTTTATTCAATACAGAGGGTAAAAATGAGATACTTTTCATCCATTAAACTGATTTCTTTTAATCTTTATTAGATCATGTCAACTTTAATTGGGAAATCAATCTTTCTGAGGACTTTAAAATGCGCCAGGAGAACTTCATGCCATTTCCGCAAAGTTCATCAAACAAGAGCTGCCAATTTAGAGCAAAAAAATACCGAAAAGTCTTCAGGAGAGACGCACTTTGGTTTCCAAACAGTCAAAGAGAGTGAAAAGGCTGAAAAAGGTTAGTTTCGTAAAATTTGAACATTTATGTAATAATTTTTGAATTTATTGAATTCAAATTAATTTGTAACACTTGTTTCATGTGTATATTTCCTTTTTTCAAGTGTATGAAGTCTTTGAGGATGTTGCGTCGTCTTATGATAAAATGAACGACGCCATGAGTTTTGGCATTCACAGACTATGGAAAGACATTTTTGTAGATCGCCTTGCACCGACCAAACCATGCAAAATTCTAGACGTGGCCGGAGGAACTGGTAATTTTTAAACCAAAAAAATTTAAATGACCATTACGACGACTTCCTTCCATATTTACACAGGTGACATTGCCTTCCGTATTGCGAAATTCTTAGGCAGCAGTGACGGAAGTGGAATCACCGTCTGTGACATAAACCAGGCCATGCTGGACGTCGGACGCAATAGAGCAAGTGGCTTGGGCTACACAGGGATGGAGTGGTTGCAGGGTGACGCAGAAAACTTGTCTTCTATTGCTGACAACTCTTTTGATGCTTACACCATTGCTTTTGGAATCAGGAACGTCACCCACATTGAAAATGTATTAAAATTAATTTATTCAAGTACAAATTTTAACAATATGGATTTATTCTATAGGCTCTTAGTGAAGCTTACAGAGTTCTGAAACCTGGTGGTCGATTCATGTGCTTGGAGTTCAGCCTTGTCCAGAATGAAAATCTTCGATGGTGAGTTCAAGTGATTTTTAATTTTTATTGCTTTTTTTTATAAATATACCTATTAATTAGTGGTCATAGATAGTTTAAATTGAGGTGAAGTTTTTCAGAAATTACTTCAGGTTATTTGAGAGTAAACTCTTTAATGAGTAGAGGATGAAAAATATAAATTACAGTGTCCTAAAAATTATTTCTTTTGCTCTCGCTTATTTTAAGTTTGATTTAAACATGCGGAACAACTAGAAATCTGAACATTGAGATAATATTAATATATAATAAAGCAATGTATTTGTATAAAAAAAAGTGAGATACCTATGTACAAAATCTTCATTATCATTTTATTCACCGTCTGGGAGTCTCAAAGCATTTTTACTCAAAGAAAACCTGCCAATTGGGAGAAGAGGAAAAAGAGGAGCAAACTGGCGGACATGGGTGAAGTTGGGCTTTTCAAAGAATAACGAGGGTGTCAGGTATTAGGCGTAGGTGTTTTCCAGGCCATATTGGATGTTGCCATGGGAATGGCTGCAGTCATGGTAACAGGCTGCTGCTTCATTCTGTCTCTTGCTCTCTCTCCCGCCGCTCCTCATTCCGATCCGCACTCAATTAGGAAAATCCAGGGAAAATCTAGAAATTTGATTCCAATTGTGCGATTCATGTGCAAGAGATGATGAAATATCAACCGCACGCTAACGTCAACAGCAACCTTCGCCTACGAATATTGCAAAAAAAAGGAAAAATGAACTCAATTAATAAATAAAAATAATCTTTTTTTGCATAAACACATTTTAAATAAATATTGCACGTTTTTTTTTTTTAAATATCCTTGCTTTTTCGCACGAAAAAACTGGTCCTCCACTCACAACAAGCAGTAGCTTAAAACCACTCATTTTAATTTTTATTCTGCTTCAAACTATAATTTTTAGTACCTTTGAAGGGTACTCCAGTTTCCACTGCCGCCGAGGCTTGTCTCAACATTGCATGCAATGTTTCTAGGTCCCCACTCTTTTCATGGCCCTGGCGCTAGTAAATATATTCCCAGCAAGAAATTTGAGAACGATCGAGGCTTTTGTGTTACAAATTAATTCGCCAAGTGGACTTATGGGAGAACACAATCATATAACAGGAAAAGCGGCTTAAACCGAAGTTGCTGCTCATAATTGATACGATTAAGTCTGCAGCTTCCATTTTATAATTATTGAAGAGCAAATTGGCTATCATAATGATGTCAATAGCAATGTTGAGAAGAATTTTTAGCGCAATTAATTTACGACTCGCGATAGAATTTTTTTAAAAAGATTATGCGTTACAAAAAGAATGAGAACATTTTTAAGTTGAGATTTGAAGCGTGGCGAGAGAGAAAAAAATGCTCATTCAACAGGTCCTGGCGATTCTTATAACTGGCCTCTCGCGCGTTTGAATGGACAAATTCGAGGGCGAGTAAATCGATATCCCTGTGCCTGAAGCAAACCCACGCTCTTGTTTGGCACTAATTCCTGTTGTTTTAAGTCTCTATTTTCTGTGTCTGCAAGAATTACATGGTGTGCTGCACAAATTCGGTTCTTTTCTTAATTGCACTTTGTTTAAAAAACGCACCCAGACTGTAAATAATAGTTGGATAGAGGGAAAATGTATCAGGAATAATTTATTTGAAACAGCAGCAAACGTAGATAGCGCGCATAGTCTTATCTATTTAAATTATAGGCTTTCTGCTCCACACGCGAGTCGTGCCGGTTGCATAAGTCACACTTTCACAGGGGTGCACATACTGCAAGAGACGCTAGATGAAAATCCAATGTTTCCTTAAACCCGCAAGCAAGGTTGCCAAAAGTGGTTTATGTTCTATTTTTGAAATGTTCATTTTGCAGGAAATAAAGTAGTGAGAATTTGCGGCAGGAAAATTATTTTGTTCTTTGGCGGCTGTGTTGCGGTGCGCCCGAAATAGTCCTTCGATCTTCGATCCTTTTACAAAATCAGCCCCGAGCCAGATCGAGGGTGGAAGTGTAGAGCTATTTTGGATTTTCTGCCATTTGGTCTGGAATTTTTGTTTCATTTTTTGCAGGCTGTACGACCAGTATTCATTTCAAGCAATCCCCGTCATGGGCCAACTGATCGCTGGCCAGTGGAAGGCTTACCAGTACCTAGTCGAGAGTATACGGCAGTTCCCAAATCAGGTATGGCATTCCACCCAACACTCACTTTCTCCCGTCTCCCCTCTTGACACCGCTCTGATCAATAATCGTTTATATTTGGACGCTGGCAAACTCATTCATTTGCCCTGCTCTAGAGGTGCACCCCACACCCCCACATAAATAGCCGTTAAGCCGATTACTCCACGTATGATGCTTCAATTATTTTTTTGCAACCCTCAGCCAAATTCATCAAATGTTATGCTTCTTTCTTCTTACTAAAAAATTGAATATTCTTCAATAAATTAAATTATTAATAATTTAGTTTTATTTGCAATATTCAGAATTCTTTTTTTTTTTTAAATCAATTATTGTTTTGTTTCCACATAAAAAAAAATCGTTTTTTTAAATTTTCGAACTGGGTTGCTAATATAAGCTCAGCAATATTTTGCTGCCTTTGTGAAATTCCCTTTCGAATGGTTGGGTCTGCTGTGTGCCGACCTTTATTTTCCCAAATTTATATATTCATTCGTGTGTGAATTGTCCAAGAGCATATTGACTAGTGATGCCCCATTGCCCTTGCAAACCAGTGTCTCTTTGTTTTGTTTCTCATCCGCATCACTTGCTTTCTCATTGCAGGAGGAATTCGCCAGCATGATTGAACGAGCTGGATTCAAATTTGTTCGCTATGAAAATCTAACTTTCGGCGTTGTAGCCGTCCACTCAGGACACAAGTTGTGAATACATATTTCAATAAATGAAACTCGCTGTGAGTAAGGGAAGCAGTTAGGGTTTTATTAACTTAAGTCATTTCGCAGTTACTCAAGCTGAACGGAACGTAACTCCGAGGTATAAAAAGTAAACAACAGAAGTTGTGAGATTTCAACTCAAGATAAGGGGAAAGGACGTTAGGTGTGGGTCTGCTTGGTAAATGCTACCAATCAAGATGCAAAAATTATCACATTCAACCACTGTACACCGACAACCAGTGGCTCTTTGGCGGCCTCTGGCCAGAAAACACAAAAGCTGTCGTGTGGGGTGGACTCCAGTTGTTTCTTTTTAATTTAAACTCTTAGCTTAACATTTATTTTGTGTAGTAGCTTAAACATCAAGTTGATGGAATTAACCGCTCTTGAAGAGCAGGATGGCCACCTGGCCCAGGTAGAAGTAGATGAAGTGTCTCGTCTCGTGAGTCACGTAGCTGCCAAAGTTGCGGCCGACTATGCAGTGCCAGGTCGGGTTGAACTTCTTGTCAAACTCCTTTTTGATGTAGGCAGCAATGTCCTAAAAACAGAAAACAAGATTTATGTAAATTTAAAAAAATTCTACTAAAAAATTGTTATAATTCATTAAATTATATAATATTGCACACTACTACAGGTTTTGATCTATGTATCAACCCATGTGTTGTTGGGTTACATCAGAGCCGTCAAAACTTGACACTTGATAGAGTTTCAATCAAGGGCTTCTTTATTGTTTGAAAGTGCGTGCAAATAAGTTTGCACACAACCAGAGGATAAAATTGACTCAGTGTAAAATTATCCAATAATAATAATAAACGCGCTTGGGTATTGTCCTTGTTGATTCCTTCCAATGAATATGCAAATTGCCGATTGGGTGTGTAAATAAAGAAGATTCTCATTGTCGATTGCGCAATTACCGCCAACACACAGCGCTTGGATATATTTACACAAAGAATGATAAAAAAAAATATCAACCGGAATGGAATAGTATAGAATTTAAATTTGAAAATTAAGTTCATAAAATTTCAGACCTTTAAAATGAATTAAAAAAAAAATAGACTAGACAGGATTTTAAAATTTTTCGATGAAAAAATTAAAGTTTGAAATTAAATCGAGTTTGAATTTCATTATTTCTTTAATTGAAATTAATGACAAATGCTACACTTTTCGCACCTTCTCAATGTTGAACTTCTCGAGGGCCTGAGTGGCGCAGTCGACAGCGTCCTGCTGCATCTCCTCGGCCATGTCAGCGTTCTTGATGACTGCCTTGCGGTCGGACATCCTGGCGTTGGCTCTGTAACAGGTGAGCACGTAGGGGTTGTTAAGCCATCGGATGCTTTTCTCAGCCATCGTGGCCGCCGCGTGCCGACTGAGATGTGAAAGCAGGGGCTGCAGGGTGCAAGTGGTGCGACGGCGCGCCCCGGTCGCTCCCACGCGCCCCGCGTGGGCTCACCCTTCGCCCTTCAATTTAGAACGAGCACCTGGCAGCAACCCTCGCCTGCTTTCCCTCTCGACGGCGCCGCCGCCACTACAAAATACTTTGAACTCGAGCAGCGCGCGTGATTTCTCGCAAAATTTGCATCGTGGGGTGAGAGCGGCGCTTGTCGCTGCCGCACCGGAAACTTTGATTAAACCTCTTTCGCTCGCTCTTTTGGCAACGGCGGCGGCGAAACGTCGTCCAAAATAACGGTGGAAAAGCACCAGAGAAAATGTGAAAAGGAAGTTACGGGCTCGAAAAATGCTATGATTAGAAATTAATGATGAAATGTTTCATGAAAAAATCCTACGCCTTGCTCTGAAAACATGAAAACTAAATAATCGTGTAATTTAAGTAAACATAATTATTTAATATAATAAATTTAGTTATAATATAACAAAATATACCATGTTTTATCAATTGTTAAGTTTTTATTTTTTCAAATATTTAAAATTCCTTAATTTTCATCAGATTTATTTTTCTTTGAATTGATTAAAAAATTCTAGCAACTTTTCTTATCACCAATCAAAAAGTCCATTTAAGAAATTTTCCTGGCGTGAAAGGAAAGATTGTAGTGCACGAAACGTGTGAAAACAGCGGAGCTAATCTGTGACACAATCGCATTAAAACGGCTCAACTTTTTATTTGTTTTATCACATTATTATTTTTCTTCGGGCGGCGCGAGAACAAGAAAGAAGCCCCACATTACACAAACTGCGGTGATTTGACAATAATCTAGGTTAAACTGCGAAAAATATTTATCGTCTGTACTGCCGATTTCGCTCGCCTTGACTGACAAATTAATGTTGCTGCAAAGCTCTCGTGACTGAGGCGTGCCAAAAATCGAAAGCGCCCAACCACGGCGACGGCAAAAGAAATTAAGAAAAATTGCTTTGATTGATATCAAAAAAATATACGGAATATTTTGGTAAATCAGTTAAATGCTCTAAATAAATCTGCATGTTTAATTTCTTTCTTTATAATTGGTGAATTTAAATTTAACAATATTGTGCCCCTGCAAAGAATCAAAGTGCTGAATAATTTAATTATTTTTGGAGTTGATGCGTGACTCACTACCTAGTCCCCTACAAAAGCATTTTAAAATAATTCTTCTGAATCCTTTTATGTACAATCAAGCACAAATTTCAAATTTGAAAGATAAGAGATAAAAAATATTGATATTATTTCAACATTTGTGTTATTACCATCTGATTATTATTATTTTAAATTAACAAAATAAATGTTTTTTTTTTTTTTTAATTTGGAGTGTTTTTAATTTTAAATCGCTCGAAAATTAGTTGATCACCTTTAAAATGTAACTTCAAAAAATGTAAAATACAAAAATATACCCGTCCTTTGCTTTCTTTAACTAAATAATTTGCAGTGTAAATTTGAAACTCATTGTTATGTATTATGTGTAAAAAAAAGTTGATTCAACCTTCTTTTTAATTTGGAAAAAATTTGGTGATTATCTAGAACAATAATATGTGTGATAAAATTTATTGCAATTACATTCCCCGATTTCATGAGGTTAAATTCTAATGTAAACGCTAGGGTGTGATTCTATCGTGTTTGCATGTTTCAATCGTATTGCAAACTTTGCAACTATTTCGTACCGCGAGAGCTAAATCCACCCTCTTCTACTGCAGTGCTCTGCAGACAGTCAAGGTCGCCCACAAGCTCGAGTTCACCGTGTTTGGGCAAGAACGCTTTTACTATAGGGCCTGAATTAACGTCATTCAGAGAAATACGCGTCTAAACCTAAGAATTCTGAACGAAACTAAAAATTTCCGGCTCCGCATCTGCGAACCTAGGGAAAATCGCGGCGGATCCAAAATGTGTCCGACACCCACTCGCGCTTCTTCTGGCGTTCGGTCGGCGAGATTGAAATTCGAATTCTCATGCTTACCGTTTTGCACTGGAACTAGACGAGGACTAATAAAGACTCAGGGTCTTTCTGTGTCTGCAGCTAATTGCAAATCGTTTAATTCGAAAGAGATCTTCTTGCCGGAGAAGTCAGGCAATCGTCGGAGACAGCGGCACGAGCACGAAGAATCGGCCTTTTTTCTGACAGAAAAGGCTTCCTTTAATGTCACACTGGAAAGCTGCTCGCTGATTGGCTGCTTTCTAGAGACTTATTTCACGGCACGAAACAACCCACTTTGCCTTGCGCTGACCCCTCCTCGGATTGGCGCCAAATGGCAATTTACCAAATAATTACGTCCATATCAAAACCCCGGCCATGCTGACTCCTTTCATCTTTGTGTAAATTTATTAATAAAATTTTAGATTAAAAATTCTCTCCAATATATGGAGCCATTTTGAAAATTTTGTGAATTTTTCAGATTTCTAACCCTTTTTGACAAATGACACCAGCGCCACAACCTCTGTTCGGAGGCCTTTGAACTACGTAATCAACATTCGAGTTCAACTCACCACGACAACGCCATTTTTGTTTGCACCCGGCTTTTAGCTGTTTTCGCATGCACGCAATTATACACAGAGCCACTAACTTTGCGGCTTAAATTAGATTAATCGCCGAGAGATTATGGATCGCAGGTCAAACCACTCAGATGGCTCGCACGGTGGCGGCGGTGGTGGTGGAGGAGGAGGCCGCAACGAGTGCCGAATTTACGTGGGCAATTTGCCACCGGACATCAGGACCAAAGATATCCAGGACTTGTTTTACAAGTTTGGCAAGGTCACGTTTGTTGATTTGAAGAACCGACGCGGGCCTCCTTTTGCTTTTGTCGAGTTCGACGATCCCAGGTTTGTATTCAATTCTTTAAATAATGATAAGACCGTTTTCTAAATTTTATTTTTCAGGGATGCCGAGGACGCTGTGCACGCGCGGGACGGCTACGATTATGATGGCTACCGTCTCAGGGTCGAATTTCCACGAGGGGGTGGACCTGGAAGTTTCAGGGGCCGTGGAGGAGGTGGTGGTGGCGGCGGCGGTGGCGGAGGTAGAGATGGCGGAAGGGGTCGAGGACCCCCGGCTAGAAGGTCGCAGTACAGAGTTCTCGTCACAGGTCAGTAAAAAAGTCGATGATTTTTATCTTATCAATTTCCTGCTGGCTACGTTGTTAATTTCTTTCTTTTTCTCAACAATTTTATAGACAAAACTTTATTTTTCCAGGACTTCCTCCGTCAGGAAGTTGGCAGGACTTAAAAGACCACATGAGGGAAGCGGGAGATGTGTGCTTTGCCGACGTTTTTAAGGACAATTCTGGAGTGGTTGAATACTTGCGTTATGAGGACATGAAGTACGCTGTTAAAAAACTGGACGACTCCAGGTTTAGATCGCACGAAGTAAATGACAAGAAATGAAATTACAAAACATGAAAATTAATTTATTATCTTTTTCCTTAGGGCGAAGTTTCCTATATTCGAGTTAAGGAGGATTACGGAGGAGGTGGTGGCAGTAGTGGTGGTGGTCGGAGCAGCAGAGGACGCTCCCGAAGCTACTCTCCGAAGCGACGTGGCTCTCCGACCTATTCCCCGGTGCACAGACGTGCAAGTTATTCAAGATCCAGATCACGATCCCGCTCCTATCATTGAAGAGCTGTCAATGGGAAACACCAAATTGACATTCCTACTCCGGAATTCACCCCAGTGTTTTTTTACAAACACAATCAGTTTACCATACTGCTTTTTATCTTTTTATAAGTACACATGAGTTCATTTTTAATATGCAATGAGGTGAATTTTGGAGTGTAAACAGTTTTCGTTAAATTTTTTTGAGACAAGAGGATTTCAGGATCTGATCATGGTAATTACTTTCGGCCAACCCAGTTAGGGATAATTTAGAAACTTCCAACTCAAGGGGGACTAATTTGAACTTTTTGTTTGTTTTTATTTACGCTCCTGTAAGGACACGGAAAAGATAATGGAGGGAAGGACATACAGGACGCCCAAGGACAGGAGGATTCCCATGTAGGTAAATGCCTTTGACGGGGTGGATCATAAGGGGTTTGGGATTTTGAGGTCTACCCTGCGAGAGCATGAGATTTTTTTTTACCAAAGCCATATATTTTTTTAGACCTTCTCCCTACTAAAACTTAATTTGTTTGACCACCTTGACCTGTTCCAAATTTTAACAATAAAAACCTGCATCACAGTGACCGAGGATATTATTTGTGAAAATGACTCCAAAGGATAAGAGGAACAAAATGAACTAAGATATATTTTCTCACACGGAATTCTCAAACTTCACCAAAAGCCTGGTGCTGCAGGTGTTTTGAGCACGATGCTTGGCCAAAGTTCTTCGAAAGTGGAACACGGCAAGTGTGAACAGGACCAGGAAAGGCACCATGGTTACGGATCCTGCAAAAGCAGCCGGCAGTGAGAAGTCCCAAAACTTAACCCAGTTCAGGAGAATTATTTCAAGTAGGAATAGAAAAAGCCCAAAAACATGAGCAAGTCCAGCGCTCAGGGAAACCAGGTTGTGCAGACGGTCGTGAGGAGAAAAGTTGGGAACCACCCGCAAGTTCTTGATGTCATATTCTTCAGAAATGGCGCTCATTCGGGGAAGAAGGCAGGTGCTGACCATCAGGGCAAATATGTTTAAGGCTATCAGGAGGACTGTGTTTACGGCGTAAAGAGAGAAAAGCCACCCAGGAGCTCCAGATGGGACACTCACTTGCAGTTCCGCCATAGCTTCCTGGAATTTTCGTGTTGATTAATTCTACCTCGGATTTGTTAGAAAAAGTGATACCATAGCAAAGAAAGCCAGCAAGTGAGCTGATCCGTGCACCCCTTCCAATTTAGCAGTGCCGTAATGAAGGCGCCTCCAAGCTAACCCTACAGGAGTTTCAAGAAGGCATGCTTCTTTTGATTTGAAATTGACGGGTTCAATAAGACCGGCTTCCATTCTTCCTGGGTCATTGTTTGGCCTAAAATTATATTTTTTTTCTAATATTATTCATAGTACAAAATTATTATCTCACCAATGAAATGGGTTTGGGAGACTCTGAGCATTAGCTTCTGACGCTTGCATGGCTGCTGAATGAAAATAAGCTGCTACGCAGTTAAAATTCTTCAGACACCTTTTTAGCACCGCACTGGCAAATTTAGCACCAATTAGCTAATCAAGTGGAGAGTGGCGCAACTTTTGAGAATAGAATTCTTTTCATCTAGGAAGAGAGGTGCTCGTAAAATTTGTAGCGCAATATTTAATTAACTCCGGTCTTAATTTTAATAGCTGGCGTTCTGACAAAAATAATTGAAAAACATATTTTTAAGACATAAATATTTCACTGGGAAGAATTAATTTTGAAATTATATTACATAATTATACAATTTATTATTTATTACAATTGAAAGGTGTTTTAAATATTATAATTAAACGTTGTTGTATCCTGGCGGGAAGCTGAATTTTTCTTCTGGTTTATTAGTCGGTAGTGCAGCACCTTCCTGTTTAAGTTTATTTTCAAGGTCTGTCTTCATCTTCTCCAGGGCTTGCAGGTCCAAATCCGATGCTTTACATTTGTGAACGACTAAAGTGTGGTAAAAATGGACCGCAAACCCAATAAAGATTAGTAGTGAAGGAACCGCAATTGCTGTCGAAGCAACTGCTGAGGCGAAGGAATAATCCCAGAATTTGACCCAACAGAGAATGGCCACTTCAACCAGAAAGAGGAAGAGACCGAGGACAGTCGAAAGGCCCCAAGCCAACTCAATGAAGAAACGCATCTTTTCATGTGGACTCTCGAGCACCAATTCCGAAGCATGGAGGCGAGTGATGGCGTCTATGTTCGGCAGAATGTATGTGGCAATCATGAGGGCAAAAATGTGGACCGCCACAAGAACAGTGGTGCACACGGAGAACAGGATAAACATCCACTCTGGAACATTGGTTGGAGTGTTGATTTGCAGCTCAACCATTGCGACCTACAATTGAAAATTTTTTACATTGTGTCTATTTATATAATTTTTTTTATTCAACAATTAAAATGCTTATTGCTTATTATCCTGGACGGTGGCAGACAAATTCTACCTCCACAAGAAATTACAGGCTTATCTCTTATTTGTGCAAGGAAAATACGTTCGCATAATTTATTTAGCTTCAAGCATAGGCATGACAGGTATATAAACTAACCACATAACAAGAGCTGATAAAAGAATTGCTATTTACGTGTGCGTAGAAAATTTACTTGGAAGCCTATAGAACTGTTTTGCCCAATGCTTGTAAAAAATTAACCAAAATTACAAAATAAAATACGCTATTATACCATTGCAAAACCAGAAAGTAATTCTGAAGTTGTCGATGTAGCCTTCAATTTAGCTCTGCTTACATGCAGCCGTCTCCATGATAATCCTGTTGGTGTGAGAGTGCCATCCACATTGGATTGCTTTTCAGGGTCATCCTCGGCTGAAGTAAAACTCTGCAAATATTAAATAGTTTAAAATCAATGAAAAAAATGGAGTCGAATATTAAGTTTTGGAATTGTAAAAAAATGTGTATGCTTGATTTACAGGGCTCCTGATGTACTGCGGAAGAACTCCGTCAGGGTGACCGCAGCAGCAATTACAACAAGGGGTGGCAGGTATGGCTGATGGAGGCGGTTGCAGGACAAGTGCCGACTGTGACCTCGAGGGCGCCGGCCAGACGGATGATTGCAGAGAGGCCGTCGACTGAGTGGCTCGAAGGACGAGGGCCGCCTTTCGAAGGCTGTTGACCCTGCCCGTGTTGGAGCGCGGGGGTGGGTGCGGCGAGCCAGGGTTTGAAGAGATGTGGAGAGACAGAGGGCGCCGCGGAGAGGCAGAAACGTTCAAAGCCGACGGCGCCTGGCTGAGTTGGCCCAAACTCTGCTGGTGCGACAATAAATCGTCTTGGCTCATTTTCCTGAAAATTTTTAATATTAGAATTTTATATGTATATATTTTTAGTATTTTTATATGGATTTTTTCTATTAAAAAATTAATAAATGGAATTTAATATATATACAATATGTATATACAAATGATAGAAACAAAATTGTTTTCCTGCCAAGTATATTATAATAATTGTGCATTGAAAACACGTACTAAAGACATGCACGTATCAAGAAAGGCATTTTCATAGAATGAGCTTGAAGAGTTCACAAAACCTAATATGCATTTCTTATTATTTGTATTCACCTTGAAAGTTACCAAGCGCAGTGTAAATGCATTTAAAAATAAGCATTTTAAATTTGAATGATCATTTTATTATAAAAATTACAAAAGTTACATGTCTCACGCAAACACCGCGCAATTACCAGCTTTATCAATTGTGAGGTCAAGCCGGCTAGTGTATTGATAATACTTTCCAGTCCAGTGCACTTAACCTTAATTTAAAAGTGAAATGAGGAATAGTCGACCTCGCAGTTCAAATGACAAAATAAAAAAAATGCACACGATTGGCAAAACACTCTGTTTTATGTTAAACTAAAAATAAAAAATATAATAACTTGCAATTATATTCCATAAAAAATCACTGCTCAAATAAATATAATCGTAACTGTGCGTTTTAAAATATCTGGAATCATAAGTTTTATGTACAAATTTATTTTATAGAAGATATCAGATATACTTTTTAAGCTGTAAAAGTTGTGACTTTTAAACAGCGCTGAACTAAAATGCTAAAATGTAAGCAATCGTAAACGTGGCAATTTTTGTGATGACCAAAATTTAGTTATAATATTGTATCATTATATATGTCACTCCTAATGAGGAGATTCAGCAGACTTGTAAAGAATTTGCTGAACTAATTAGCAAAAAAATGTGCCACAAACAAGCGCAGCGCTTATGCATGCAATAACAGCGCCCAGCGCCGTAGGAGAGCAAAATGTGCTGCGCCTTTGAATATAAACGATCAAATAATTTTATCGCTCTTGACGGCAGCGTGTTTTTGAGCTCAAAATTATGATGAGAGCTGTCACAAGAATACCAGAAATTCTTTTAAAACTAAAAACGCTGAAGATACAAATAAAAAATTAAGATATAAAAATATTCTTTCCAGAGTTAATTTATTTGTATAGGCAAAATGCTAAATCCAGTTTGCATTAATTATATTTCTCTCTTTCTTTCGTGATTTAGTTGAATATTTTTAAACTTACAGTTTGTTAAGTAGTATATGGCAACCCTTTCACTGCACACCTACTACGACTGTCTGCACTGCGTACACTGGCACTGGCAAGTAAGGCAATTATTATCAGTCGTCGTCAGTCGTCCTCATAGTGAAAACACCTTCACAACACAAACGCATGCGCCACTCCAGATATGGTTAAAATTTAATTATGAATGTGCAGTTCACAGGTCGCGGTTCAAAATTAAATAATAAAATATTTATTTCCAATTCCGTGGAATTATATATTTTTATAGTTTTAAAAATGGGAGAAAGGATAATAAAAATATTTATATAACCGAAACATTAAAAAATTAAATTGTGAAATGAAACGTATTTTTTTTTGTGAGTGAAGTAAAACCTTGTTCTCATTTTTATTTTAGAAAACACCTGGATTATTTTTCTTTGCATTCTTTATCTCTTTATATAATAGCATTTCTCTCCGTCTCCTGGCTTTGAACGGAACACTACAAAAAAAAAGAGATAAAATTAAGCTTCTGTCTAAACAAAATTTTTAATGCCGGCCCTAGTCAATTATTTACTTTTCATATTTTCTGGAAGCTCTTTTTTTCTGGAAAGAAAAAAGGAGCGAAAAAATCTACATAAAATATTATTCAAAGAGACAACAAGTGTTATTGAGTTTTGACACACGATACATTGATTATGTATTTTGGTTTTTAGAATTATTTTATTTGGTTAGTAAAAAAATTAAACTTTTTTATATTAAAAATTTTGAAGCTTTTCGGCAGCTTTTCGGAAAGATTAATAATTAATTGAAATTTTATTTCATTTTTTACTGAATTTATGGCCTATAAGATAATGCGATTTTGTATTATTTTGCTAAATATCAGAAGTGACATCTTCAGGAAGATTTCTGTTTTATTAAAAAAAAAAAAAAAAAGAAGAAGCTTGGTTGCAGCCTGCGGTCAGCATTTTGCAAAAATATTGTATAATAAAATAATAGTAAAAACAAATAACGCGATGATGCTCGCTTTTCTAGTTTTCTAAACGTATAACAATTCATTATATTATATTTTAAAAGTTTTAAAATACATGCCCTTTTTCTATTTTGCATAATTTTTTATAATAATTTGGAGGTTAAGAAAATGATTTTTCTTATGTTTTCATAGTCAGCATAGAAGGCAATAATTAATAAAAAATGTGAGTTAAAATAATTACATACTTTTTTGCGTAGGGTGTCCTCCTATGTCCCCCCCTCATTTTCCACGCCAATAAGGCAGTCAAAATTATGTATTGATTATTATTTATTGGCGGAAAAAATTAGCAGGTTGAACTGAAAGAGCCAGCGCTACGTAGTCATCGGGCGCTAGAGCAAGATTCAATAAGAATTTTAATTCCAGTGCGAGAAATTAGCGAAATTATAATTTCGCTAATTTCTCGCTATAGCTTCCAGTGCTTGCTTCTGCTTGTCTGGCTGAGTTGCGCACAAGCAAGCAAAACTCATCGCGCGGCGGTGAAGAGAGACTCGGGGCTGTGTTCGTGTTCGTGCACGATCAAACTGGTTGGTCGTTGTTCGAGTCTCGCTCGCTAGTCGCTCGCCTCCGCCGGGCGAGAGAAGTCGTGGAAGAGAGGGGCGCTCGCAGCTCGCTGTTTCCTCCGCATCGGACATCGGGCGTAAGCCAAAATGGCGACAACCAAGTCTTCGAAAGGCGACACCAAAAGTGACAAGAAAAACAAGCACAAGCGCAAAAACCCCGACCGCGAGTACATCATCCGACCGGTAAGACCCGCGACCACCTTTTTCCACCCCCGAGAGGGTGCCGGCCGCCTCCACTGGGACGGCAGAAGGCCTCGAAAATTGGCGCGCTCGGCGTTTTGTCCTCGAATTTGAGGCTCTAATTTTGGACTTTTTCAGAGGGACCGCAAGCAGAGGAAGCACTACACGGATGACTGGGCTTACGGGGATGAAGAGATTGAGGGCCAGCATGCCTTTGATCTTGAGGAGAAGCTTACGACGGACCGTTTTGAGCAGGGTTTTGTCAAGGAGATGCAGGGCCAAGGCGAGTTTAACCCCCCAAGTGTATTCCCCGTATTGGCACGTACGCACTTTGCACCCAAATTTTCCCTGCACTTGACTTTAATTCGACCTGATTTCACGCCCCGAATTAAAGTTTTGAATTTTCTCTTTGGTTTGCAGACGTGACCGTGGCTTATTTTCAACGTCACGGCTTCAGCACCCCTCTGCTGGTTAAAGAGAAGACTGGTCTAGGACTGACGGTGCCGCCAGAAGACTTCAGCATCAATGACGTGCGGATGGGTGTCGGTGAGTGCCGAGTCGAGAGCGAGAGAACATAAACACCTTGCGAAAATGCACCTGTGCCACCGCTCAGCACAGCTGTTTTTAATATACTCGTGATTTCTTTTAAACTAACAGGGAATTGATTGCTTGTGCCAATTTGTAGTAATTCCTCTTATAATACTATACCTAAAACTCGACTCCAATTCCTCAGTTGTTTTTCACTCCCGGAAAAGGGCATTGAAAACACATATTGGAATGCTGGTTCAAATTAATTGATTTTTTTTTCATTTATTATTTTTTTCACGCGCATTTTGCTATACTAAATTTAATAATTTTTTACTAGGGTACATTTCAGAATTAAGTTTCTTTTTGCTGTAAATAGGGTTAAACATAGAGATTTTTTAATGTTCATCAACCCATACTAAAACAAATTACCCTGTTTTTTCTATTTAAGCCATTTGAATTGAAGCTAAACAGCAAAATACTGGAAAATGTTACAAGTATGGATAAATCTAACAAAATTATCGTAAGATCCGAATAATTTTGCGACAGTTTCTTTCGTGATAACTGACTCGGAACATATTTGCAATTATTCTATACAAAATTTTTCTGCAAGAAATTTTAAAAAATTAATTCTTAATCAAGCAGAAATAATTTTTCCATCTACATATTTGATCATCCCAGTGTTTTGAATTTTAAATTTATTTATGAATCAACCAATCAATTAAAATTTTACTAAAATCACGACTTTCAAAAATATAAGTGCATTCTTATTTTCTATACTTAAAATTCTTAGGATCAAGGAGAATGCTAGACGTTATGGACGTTAACACTCAAAAGAATATGGACATGACCATGAAAGAGTGGCAGAAATACTATGAGAGTACCAACAAAGAACGTCTCCTGAATGTAATTTCTCTAGAATTCAGCCACACAAAGCTAGAACAGTACATCCAATCTCCTACAGTCGTAAGTATTTTAATAACTTCAAATGATTTGGTTTGCCGTCCATTAAAATTTCCTGATTAAATCGTACAAAAAGATTAAATAATCTTGTGATTCCTCGATAGGAGATTTTATTACGTTCATATTGAAATATTTCAGGTGAGGCAGCTTGACTGGGTAGATTGTGTGTGGCCGAAATACTTGAAAGACATGCAAGTGGAGTCAACAAATGTGCTCGAAGACATGATGTACCCAAAAGTGCAGAAATACTGCCTTATGTCAGTGAAGAACTGCTTCACAGATTTTCATGTTGACTTTGGTGGCACCTCCGTATGGTACCATATTCTCAAAGGCAGCAAGGTAATGATTTGACAAAATTAATTTTAAACATTAATTAATGCTCTTTTTACTACAGATTTTCTGGCTGATTCCGCCGACTGAGCACAACATCAGTTTGTACGAGCAGTGGGTGCTGTCTGGCAAACAAAGTGACATTTTCTTTGGAGACACTGTCGAGAAGTGCTCTCGAGTGCACCTTGAGCAGGGTAACACATTCTTCATTCCATCTGGTTGGATCCATGCAGTCTTCACACCCTCGGACTCGCTCGTCTTTGGAGGCAACTTCCTTCATTCCTATGGCATTGAAAAGCAATTGCGCATTGCCAAATTAGAGGACACCACAAAGGTGAATGCACGTAAACTTTCTATTTTAAATTTGTATCTTTATTCCATTCTTTATTGGACTATTGATACCTAAATTGTGTTCGAGAAGAAAATAATCTAGTTGCGAAATACAATTTTTTTAGTCAACATAATTCTTTTGCAGCAAAAATGTAAAATTTTACATTATTATGAATTGGGGAATGTTCTTAATCAAAGTTCAGGATTTTAAACTTGTGAGGAATTATATTAAGATTCAAATTATGACTCCGAGATGCTCGTCAGACTTGTCCACCATGGCCGAAAGTAACTCGATGGTTTGCAGAATCTGGCCTCTAGCCGTCTTGATGTTCTTGATGGTCAAATCCACTTCTTCTTTAGCAGTCACAAGCAAGGTTTTCTCTTGCTCGGCTTTCTGGAGCTTCTCTTTCAGACACTCGATATCCTCCATGATCTTTGTGATATCAGCCTGAGTAACTTCAATCTTCTTGGTCAAAGCAAACCGCCTTCCTTCCAAGTTATCAGTTTTCAAATTCAGGGCGTCTAGGTTGGAAATCAAAAGTTTGGCTTCTTGCTGTGAAGGGATTTCTAAATCCGACATTTTAGTATTTCCGGAGCGTTCAAAATAACAGTTAAAATGGTTGCTTTATTTTTACAACAATGCTTAAAATTGTCTTGTTTTAACTTTCTAACAATATGCTCTTTTTTTCTTTTGTTGTAGGTTCCTCAAAAGTTTAGATACCCATTTTTCACTGAGATGCTCTGGTATGTTTTGGAGAAATATGTCTACTGCCTACTTGGAAACTCGCATCTCAATCTACCAGCCGAAGTGTTGGCTTCAAGGGCTAGCTACCGCCCTCACCAAGAAGTCCATCTCACAACTCAGGAGCTGCACGGACTCAAAGAAATTGTGCTCTTCCTGCACACCTTGCCAGCACACAAGAAAAACGTGCCAGAGCTGATTCCAGATGCCATTAAACTGATTACAGATGTAAGAGATTTGGTACAGTTGCACCGAAAGGACAACCCAGGCATGGCTGTGACTGGAAAGTGCATTTTGAGACTCCCACATGAGGTATTGTCATAAGATTTGTTTATTTCCCTACAGTGTTAGACTAACAATAAATAAATTTACTATTCAGAATTCAGACAGAAGTCCCCTCAGCCGCTCATCAGGCAACAGTCGAGGTGTATCTAGGCCCAAAACAAGTCAAGGAAATCGAAGCAGCATTGGCAGTAATTCCTCATCCAGAATGAGCCTGCCAGGAATGTCGGCTCTCTCTTCTCCACTCAACTCCAGTCCTCAGAGCGCTATGCACAATCGCCCCATGCACTCGGAAGGTCACTCTAAACCAGCCAGCAGCAGTGGATCATCCTCGCATGCCAACAACAATGGGCCAAGGAGGCGACGCACTAGATGCAAGAAGTGCGAGGCCTGCAACAGGTCAGATTGTGGCGAGTGCAACTTCTGTCTGGACATGGTCAAGTTCGGAGGGCCTGGAAGAGCCAAGCAAACTTGTGTCATGCGCCAATGTTTGCAGGTGAGAAGTAGTTTAAAAAATTGTGACTTGTTGATATATTTTTACCTTGCTTATAGTAATTTAAAAAAGGGCATGAGAAGTGTGTTATGAGGCCCTTTATGTGCCTAACACTTTTCTCTTGTGCTCAAAAATACTCGGAAAGAAGTCTCCAAATTCTTTCTTTACTCTTTTAATATTTTTTCTATCATTGAAAATCTTATTTTTTTTTTGTATCCTTTTAAATTTAACTGGCAAATTATAGATCCTAAATGACAGTTTTTTTTTTTTTAAATTGCGTTTTAATTCATTTTCGCTCATTAAATTTTTAGCCAATGCTGCCCGTGACTGCTGCTTGTGCAGTGTGCAGATTAGATGGCTGGGGGCTTGAGCCTGTTGTCCCCATACAGAAAACAGCCGAAAGAGCATCTGTGCCTTCTTCCCTCATGGAGTGCAGTGTCTGCTTTGAAATCATGCACCCAAAATGTGCCACCAGCCGCTTGCCACCTGGAATCACTGCTACTGGTCAGGTCAATGAAGACATGCCAAACTCGTGGGAATGCCCCCTTTGCTGCAAGGAAGGCAAAAACCAAGATTACAAGGTATTTTAATAATTGCTAATATCTGCCGTTGACGTTTTCTGATTTTTATCTGTGAATTAGCCACGCCATTTCCGTGCCAGAAACAAAACCTCTACCCCAGCCGCTCCTGGGATGGGACGTCGAGGATCTTTCAGCAGCGAATGTAGTGAGAACCCGACCAGGAATATAAAAACAGAATTTGTGAGAGTCAAGGCTGTCAATTAAGGATGTATTTAATTTTTGTTTTGTACTTTATAGGATAGTGATATGGACCCTATGTCCCCATCTGGCTCTGCTAAAGTTAAGCCAGAGCCTCCTCACCTCTCCCCTGACATCATGAAAAGGAGGAGATTCTCCAACGATTCAGAAGTTGCCGACGACGCCGGTCCTCCTGTACTGGATGCAGAACCTATTGCTACAGTCCACAGACCTGTCAATGCCATCAGACCACCTCTCAGATCTCAACTTGCTGCACAATTGTGTGGAAGCTCAACCAAACAGTTGAAAAGACCAACTGTTGTTGTCAGACCCAACGGCATTCCACAAGAGACCAAAAATGTTGCCAGGATTCCAGGTAAGGCCAAAGCTTTGCTCTTTGAATAATTGCTTGTTATGGAAATGATTACTAATTTCATCAAACCTGCTCGAATCTGACGATTAATCAATATCTCCATAATTTTCACCCGGCAGTAAGGAAATCGCATTAAAGTGTATTAAAATTGCACATGAAAAATTTTCTCTTATCAGGACAAATTTTGGGTTAAAAATAACATGCACAATAAATTTTGATTGTATGATGCACTTTTGTATCAAAATTTTCTTTTTTGATGAAATATCTTTGAATTTCTTTAAGTTGTTCCCTACAGCTGGATTAAAAATTGCACAGTATAAAGAACTATGATTTCTTGACTTAATATTTTCTTTAGTTTTGGCTGTCCTTGGATGAAAAGTATCTTGGTCCATGGGAATTAAATTTTTGTTCTTCATTTCCATTTTAGTCAACAAATGTCAACCTAAAATCCTCGTATGTTTCACTAATATTTGTGCCATTACAGGTGGAAATCTTGCTTTGGACAAGGAGGTCATGCAACTGGTCTTCCGCTTCTTGGACCAGTCTGAACTGAACACCTGCACGCTTGTGTGCAAGAGCTGGTCCTCATGGGCATGCTCGCCAAAATTGTGGCCGCGGCTGTCTCTGGCCCACTGTCGAGTAACAGCGGCACACATACAAGGCATCGTAAAGCGTCAGCCGAGCAGCCTCATCCTCGACTGGAGCACTGTCAGCTCTAAGCAGCTGGGCTGGTTGCTGCCGAGGCTGCCACAGCTGCAGTGCCTCAGCCTGCAGGGTTGTGTGTACGCAACATGTGTCGTCGCCTTGCGCACCTGTACTTGCCCTATGCTCATGTCACTAGATCTCAGCTACGTCTCTGGCATGAATGACTGCTGCTTGAGGGAAATTTTGTCGCCACCGCCAGACTCTAGGCCTGGCATGACGGACAATAAGTCGCGGCTAAGGAACCTCAAAGAACTCATTCTTGTTGGATGTGACATATCAGATGTTTCTCTAAGGTATGTTTTCGTGTGTTACTATCTAATCAACCTGCGCATTAAATAGCAAAATTTTTAAATGAAGGCATCTTCAAATTACAATTTGATTTTTGCTTTAAAAAATTTTCAAACGTTACTTTTGATTATTCTCAAAGTACCATACATATAAATTAAATTATCTAAATAATATAATATGAGCAAATTGACAAAATAGGAGGGCCTATTTGAATATTATGCTTCTCCATCTACTTTCCTTTCTTAAACTTCTTTATAGATACTTGCCGAATAAAGAAACATTTTCAGTAATTTTATTATGCAGGCAAACCTTTAAAATGACTGGGATAATAATCTGCTTAATAATATGTCATAAAAATTAATTGTTTCAATTGAAAATTTACAGATACATTGTCCAGTACTTAAAAGGTTTGGAAGTGCTGTCACTGGGATCCTGCTACAAAATAACAGACGCAGGAGTGGCTCAGCTGTCTTCTAACAATGCTCCCAGCGTGACCAACCTGAAAGTGCTGAACCTCTCTGGCTGCAAAATGGTCACTGACCTTAGCCTTGAGCACCTTGACCGATGCAGAGGGCTGAAACGCCTAGACTGCAGACACACTCCGTTCATCAGCTCGGACGCAATGCGCACATTTTGTGAGAGCCGACCGAACCTGGTGAGCGTAACAGACAAACTTGTAATTGAAAAGGACTAACCTAGTCATGGACTTAAAATTCCATTTTGTAAACTGGCAGTTAATTAATCAATTTAAATGTGAGAAATAATGCCATCTCTTTGTGTCATTGATAAGATATATTAAAAAAAAAATATATTTAATGCCCACGGACTGACTTAGGTCTGTTTATTCATTGTACACAAGCATTTCATCAATTTATATTTTCAAATGTTTTAAAATTGAGTTATCCTATTGTGAAGTTGTCGGTGTTAATAAGATGTAATTGATAAATAAAATACTTGTAAAAATCAGCCACTTTTTGAATGTTATTTTTCTAAAATTCTGACAACTTACTTAAGAATTTAAGCAGAGAAATAATCACCAATTACCATGTATTTTGGTTGAAAAAACTATTTTTAAATATGTATTGTGAAAAATTGTTTAACCCTGACTAGTTGCAAATCTGATGCTCGCTCTGCGGATGGTGAGCTAGTTTCTTTTGCAAGGCAATCGGTGCGTAAAACTACAAAAAAGTATGGTCGGCGGCGGAAGTCTGGTGGCAAAGATTGATGAGCGTTCATAAAACGGAGCAAGCCGCGTTAACCCGCAACGCGTAGATGTGGATGAAGATTTCAACACTAACTTTTTCAGCACCTTTGCCAACGCGATGCAAGGTCTTGCAAAAGATAAGACGGAAAATTTGGCTTTTTAAAATGATCTTATTTGAATTCTCAAAACATGTAAAAAAAAAATTAATGCAAGTCTTAAGATGATGCATGTTTTATAGTTGCGCCAAGACAAAAGTGTCTTGTCAGCTTTTCGCCATTTTTAAGAAAGCTTGGAAAATCTGATAGAACTTTGAAAAATATCTATTGATTCCAAGTTGAATACACATATTTGATATTTTATACGGGAGATGGACTAGAAGGTGCACGCGAAGGTTGTTGTTTTTGTCACTGTTCTTATCAAAAACAAATTGCTCTATATGGCTCTTTAAATCCCACATTAGTTTTTATGCTTCAATAGAATTATTGAGCTTCTCGGTTTCAAATTTCTGCAATAATGTGTGAAAAAAATTCAATACTTCGTATAAAAACTGCTCTAATATCCAAGTAATAGCATACATCATGCCTTTTTTTGTACATCGTGACATCGTGTGCGAAACATTATTCAACATTAAAAAATTCTCTACCGCTTTCAGCATTCTATTAAAATTTAAAATAGAAATGAAGAGAACGGGCTTTTTATCATTGTAAAAATTTGTTTTCAAATAACAATAATTTTTAAAATGAGGAAAATCTAGATCCCTTCACTTCCATGATCGTCTCCTCAAGTGACAATTTTTCTAACATATTTAATGGATCTTTTCTAATTAATTACACCTTTTAAATTTTAAAACTTTTTTCATTTTCAAAATGTCAGGATAGAATTTGTAAAGATAAACAAAAATATTAATAATAAAAAAAAATACAATAGGAGTGGGGCTATTTTTTTTTTTTTTAATAATTATTTTACTGGCGAGGCAACAGCTATTTGTTTTTATAATAATCCAATAAAGGCTTGCTTAAGGACTGGTTAATGTTTATATAATATTTACTTTTTATTTAAATTCTTATTTCTGTTATTCTTTTGTGACTAAAGAAAAGCAACGCCGTCCTTTTTTTGTCGGTTTATTCAAAGGAAAGAAAAGACAATAGCGTCTTAATGGGCACACTGCAGGTGATTTTCTACCCTAGTTAAAACTATTTTCAATTTATTCTGCTTGTTATACCCACAGCGCACGTATAAATAAATAAAGCAGCAGCAGCAGCACACTGCAGTCATCAGCAATTTATCATCACAAAGGAAAGAAAGGAGCGCAGCGCAGATCTCTCTTCCCTTTGGCTATTTGCAGGTATGTCTGTATGTTTTCCTACGTCTCTGTTTGTTTGGGACGCGATTTTTACACGTCACAGAATTTAGATGCAACTCTTTATCCAACTGCAGTGTCTGACGAGAGTTAGATATTCCCTTATGTATGTAACTATTCTGGTGGTGCGGAACATTTTCACTTTCTTCGCCAATTCTCATTCGCCGCACGTGCGCCAGAGTATTCGACTAGAGTACAGAGAAGCTATAACCCTTTCCTTAGAAGTATTGCAAAAGTGGTGCAGTTTGAATGCAGAAAAGTGCACGTCCTGGTAAGAAGGAGACGGCTATTTTTGCTGAGCTTCTCATAAGGTTGTAAAATACATTATTTATGTTGTTTATTTGTTAACATGAAAATTTGAAAATCAAATGATGGGAGGGAAGCATTGAACTGTTAAACAAAAAGGTACCGCCATGCACTGGCAAAGATTTTGCTCTGGTGAAGTAAGCCTCAGTTGACTTAAACGCACTTCAATATTTATAAAAAAAATTGATTCGAAATTTCAGTAAAAAATATACAAATCATAGAAATCAAAGCACACAAAAATAGAAATTTTTTTGGGATTGGAAATGCTGAAGTATCAGTAAATATTTCACCTTTTTACTTAAAACAAAAAGATAAAATATTCCAGCGCTTATTTATGTATAATGATAAAGCGCCTTTGCGGATTGCTGCCCTCTCGTTGTGAACCAATCTTTTTTGAAAGAAATTTTTCAGATTCTAATTTATTTTTAAAACTACTGGCTAAAGTAAAAAAATTAATAATTTAGAAACTTATGCAACCGGCGCAACATCAGAATTATTTATTATGTCTGCTCCAAACAATGGAATTTTGAATAATATGAATTATGATTAAAAAAAGAAGGGAAAGTAGATTGGAATACAGAATAAACCGATAGTAGTATTTTGTTTTAAATTGATTATGGCGGAATACACACATATTATTTAAAAAAAAATCATTATAAATTTAAAAATTTATTTATATTGCATTTACTGAAAAATATGTTTACTTTCATACAACGCCAGCACAGCAGAATTAGTTGGTTGCGCTCCCAAAGGACGTCAGCCGGAAGGTTGGAAAATGCAACAAGAATCGAGTTCGTTAGCAAAGTTTGCTCTGCTCTTTTTTCTTTCTCTGCTGTTTGGTTCGGCCTTCTCGCTAGATAGAAACGCGCAGATAAAAATTACCTACTGCTCCACGAACATTGCTCGGGGGGTCGTGGCGGTAAAATACATTGAAGAACCACCGTGTTCATCGCTCATTGGTCGTGTTCGACACCATTTTTATCAATAATGTGTGAGAAAATCCTGCCCTTCAGGTCAACCTGCGATGTTTGTACTAAAAATAAACCTCACGCTTCTATTTTCACAAGCCGAAAATAAAAAAAGAGTGCAATGTTTAAAGATATAGAAATGTGTTAAAATTACAGAGTTGTCTGCAGGGCTGTTCCAAACATTTTTTTTTTTTATCAATTATTTACTTGTAGTCAGAATGTATTTGAATAATTTAAAAGCATTTCAATTTTAAAATGTGCAAAATTTTATTGTGTCAAAATTTTTATATTATTTAATAGTGTGTTGTAAAATTGTTCCGCCAAAATAAATTACAAATAAAATTGGTGGATAAATTAATAAATATATATCTATACATTTTTGACTTGTAACTCCTTTATTTTTGTTCATTATTTTTTATTTGAGAAGTAATTCATATTAAAACAATTTTGGTATACCAATTGCTCCATTCCAAAACCAAATAAATTTTAACCCCTTATTAATCATCCGGGGTATTTTTTTTTTTTAAATTCGACGCAAAAAGCCTTGCGTTCTGTCTGTGGGCCCGACATACGTTATAATAACTCTGTGGTTGGCCCACACCAGAGCGAGAGACCGCTGCACCTAGTAATGAGTTGTTCACTCGTCCATTTCGAGCTAAGCACTTTATATTCCCAGCTTGACCGCAATGCAAATAATAATCTTGGTTGGCAAAACGAAAAGGGCTTTTAGCGGAGGAGAGGCTCTTTGAGCGAAGGGCGCAGGGCGCAGGACCTTCGAAAACGCTTGCCGGTACCAACCTATGTTTGTGTCAACCTCTTGCAAGTGCGGCGTTTGGAAAAAAAACACTACAAACAGCTGACTTATGAAATTTAGTTGGTTTTACTTAATTCTATTTTCATTTTTTGTTTATAAATAAATAATGAACTGTGTAGATGAGTTGTTTAAGATCATAATTTGTAATCATAAATCATAAACCGAGAATCCCAAATATTCAGAGCAAAAGAGATTCAAGCAAATGACATTTAAAGTAAAGAATTGAGCTGAGCTGCAGCAAAAGTCATGCGAATAAATTTTAACGTGGCTGCCACAGAAACAATGCAAGTCTATTTTTTTTGCGAGTATACAGCCCGTCAGTCAGGCGGCTCCGACCGCAGGAAATAAGTGCGGACGGGCCGCTTTTTGCAAAGAGAACGCACGTTGGATGGTGGTGCGAGATGTGTAACATATTCGTCCGTCACTTTGTTTATGCAAATAGCAGCGACACACACGTGAAAGTTTAATACCAGGTGCGAGGGGCGAAAAATAAACACGACAATCTGGAGGTAATGCGGCAGGATTAGGTAGGGCGCCGAGATTCTGCTGCTTCTTCATGAAATGCAAACGACTCGCAGGAGCTTTTGACTTGGCACGCTAATTTCCAAATGCGCTGTAAACGTAACGGCGCTCAACTGGCTAATAAAATTTCAATGTGTTGAGATTGCTGCCGAGGGAGCAGATTCGAGCCTGCCGAGGCCGCTGCGGCAAAAATGCGATTCGCACTCTCTGTTGGCCACCCCATGAACGCTACACTCGAGTTAATGCTGCCGCGGCGATATTTCGCGTCCAGACGCACACAAATCAGCAAGAGAATTTAGTTGTAAATTTACCCAGCCAGCTTTTGTATTTTGCAAAGCGGATTTTTACCCGAGCGCGCTCGTCGACCCACTGTTTCATTTAAATCAGCTTATAAAATTAAATGTTAAAATTTTTCTATAAAGGATATTTAATTTTTTTATACTAAATTAGGGTTTTTAATAATTGGTAAATTTTAAAGGAACTTATTAGAATAATATTTTTTATTATTTGATTCAGTAAACTAATGATTGCTTGAATATTTTCACAAAAACTCATTGCGCAGGGTTTTCATTGTCAATTTATGCATCAATTTTCTTTTCCTTTCAATTTCCCGCTTAAAATAGTGAAGAAATTGGTTGTTTTTCTTGGATCGCGTTCTGGATCATCCATCGGTTTCTGTGCCGAGCATTGTGCCTTTGGATTGAGCGACATGCAATATTTTTATGCGTGCACTTTTGCGCTCCGATACTTTTTTAATTCAGTAAGCTCTGCAGCAGAGAATGCACTTA